TAATTAATATAAATATAATATAATTAGATATAAAGAAATAAATTAAATATAAATAGGGCAAGAAATAAATATATAAAATAGAAAAATATTATAAGAAAGAAAGTTATATATAAAAGGCTATAGCCTTTAGTATATAACTAAAACCTTAAAAGTAATATAAATATATAAAGTATTTGGGAAAATCTGGTATTAGGCCGGATTAGAAAATTAGTATATAATTAGAAGAAAATATTATTTTTCGCGTTTTTAGAAAGGTTCTAGTATTAGTATAGCTATAGTTATATAATATAATTATATAATATAGAAATAACTAGAGATAATAAGATATAAATAATAAGTAATAATTATATAATCTTATATTATATAAATAACTTAACTAATAGCTAGTTTCTATTAGGTTTAATAGATTTAGGAATTATATATTAATACTATAATATTATAATTCTTATTTCTAAATAATAATTACTTTACTAATTTATATAAAAAATATTTTATAATTATATAATAGTATTATATATTTCTAGTAAACTAATAATAATTAATATAAGTTATTAATTAGTATTTAAATAAGCTTAAATATTTTTTTTCGGATATTTAATTATTATAATTATTAAAATAATAGTATTTTATTTATTTAAATTTTAATATAAGGTTTTATATATATATATATTAAAAGAGCTAGTTATTATAAAAATAGTCTTATACTAGTTTCTTTAATATAATAGAAAAGGCTTTTATTAGTATTTTTTCTAAAAACTTTATATATTAATAAATATTAAAAAAAGAATTATAATTAAAACTATTATTAGTTTTATTATATTTCTATATTTCGAAATATATCTTTATTATTTCTCTAATAAACTTTCTAATAATAATAAAAATAAAAATAAAAGTAATAAATAGTTCTAATTTAGAAGAAATAAATAAATAGCTTAATTTCTTAATTAAAAATATTTAGTTTTTTTATATTTAGTTTTATTTAAAAAAAATAAACTAATATAATAAATTCCTAAAGAAAATCTAATTTAATTAGATTATTATTATTAATATTAGATTCGAAAACTTTATAATAATATATAGCTAATTTAATTAAATACTATAATATTAAAATTCTTAAAATTATTCTAAAATAAATTTTATAAATTATTTTCTTTTTTTTATATAAAATATATTAATATATTTTAATAATTAAATATTTCTAAAAGTTATTTTTTATTATAATTACTAAATTAATATTATTCTTATATTTTTTAATTCGTTTCTTTTTTTTATTAATATTTATATTAAACCGAATTTAGTTTTTTTCTAATATATATATATATAATTTATAATAAAAAGAATTTAAAAATAAAGTAGTTTATAATAGGTTTAGAGAAAGAATTCAGTAATAAAAATATTAGAATATTAAAATAAATATTTTATTTTTAAAAATTTCGTTTATAATATAAAATTTAAAAAGTGAAATATTATAATTCTAGAAGAATCTAAAGCTCGAAAAGCTTAATTTAATAAAAAAATCGAAATTATAATTAAAGAGCTTTAAAAAAAAATATATAGAATATATATTCTAAGAAGAAGGTTTTATAAATTCGGGTATTATATAAATAGAAAAAATAATTTCTAAAAAAGTAATTTTAAGGCCAAAAGAAATTAGTTTTAAAAAATAATAGAAATTAATTAAATAATTAATTAAATAATTAATTATTTATTAATTAATAAAAGCTAAATATTCTTTTTATAAATTATTAAATACTTTTATAAGATTAATATATAGTTTCTTTTTTTAATATAAAATAAACTAATTTTATTTTAAGTTATTAAATACTTTTAAAATTAATCTAAAATCTTCTCTAATCTATATATATATAAACTAATTAGGATTAGTTTACTAGTAATATATAATATTATTATATAATATATATATAAAATACTAATATATTAAAATTAGTAAAATAATTAATATTTAGAAATAAGAATTATAATATTAATATATAATTTCTAAATTTACTAAATCTATTAAAGTCTAGTTTACTAATTAAGTTATTTATAAAATATAAGATTATATAATTATATATATAACTTTTAAAGAAATAGCTATATTAATATTAATAATATTTCTTTATTTTAACTTTATTAAAATAGCTATAATATAAATTTTCTAATTATATAACTAATTATATAATCTTATATTATAAATATAACTCGACTAGTAAATTAATTTTTATTAAGCTTAATAGATTTTAGTATTATATATTAATATTATAATATTATAATTCTTAATTCTAAATTAATTACTTTACTAACTTTAATATAAATAATATTTTATAATTATATAATAATATTATATATTACTAGTAAATTAATAAATTTATTTAAAATATAATTTCTTTTTTTATATATATTTAAAATTATAAATTTTTCGAATTATTATTATAATTTTAGTTAAAGAAAATTAATAATATTTTATTTTAAGAAATTATTATATTATTAAAATAAAATTAGCTTATTAATCTTAATAATATCTTTATTAAAAAGTAATTAAATAATATAATATAAAGTAATTATTTTATTTTTATTATTTCTTTTAATTAATAACTTAAATATTATATTTATAATATATATTTTTATTTTATTTAATAATATATTAAACTTCTTTAATATAAAGTTTTAATATATTTTATAAAATTATATTATATAATTTAATTAGTTTAAAAGTATATTATTTATAATAATATATTTTATAATTATAAAATTATAAATAATAAAAATAAAAGTATTTATAATTTATTAGTTATATTTATTAATTAATATATTACTATTTTTATTTTTATTTTTATTTTAATAATTTGCGGTTTTTTTCTTATATTATTAGTTTAATAAATTCCTGTTTTTTCTTATATTAAATATTATAATATTTATTTGAATTTTCTTATAAAGCTTTATAATAAATATTATATTTTTCTTTTATTAATTATATAAATAAAGTATTTAATATATACTTTCCCTAAATATTTAGATAAATTAAAGCTTTATAATTTATTAAAAATATAGTTTTTAGTTTATTATAATTTTATAAGAAAATAATATAATAAAAATAAAAGCAAGAATAAAAACTTAATTATTTAAGTTTTTTTTTATATTATTTATTTACTTTTTTCTTTTAGCTAATTAATAATTTAATTACTTTAATTAATTTAACTAATTAATAACTTTTAATTATTTTTTATTATATAAAAATAATAAGGAAAAGAATCTTTTATTAATTATATAAGCGAATTTATTATTATATTAAAAAAACTATTATTTTTCTTTTTAAACTTTATAATAAAATTATTTATTATAATTTATTATATAATTAAAATATATAGTTAATTATATAAAAGCTTATTTTATTTTATTATATAAGAAATATTTTATTTTTTAGTAATTACTATTTTTAAAAATATTTAAATTTCTTTTATAAGATTTATTTTCAAAATATTTCTAATATATTTTATTTAAATATTAAAATATTATTCTTTTTAAATTCTTTTTAAATTCTTTTTAAATTCTTTTTAAATTACTTATTTATATATAAAAGAATATTATATTTAAACTTTAAATTCTTATAAAAATAGAATTAATAAATACCTAAAATTTATATATATATATAATATAAATTATTAAGTTCTTTTAATAAATATTTTAATTTATATATTTTTTTAATTACTTTTTTTAAATATTAAATATTATATAATATTTTATTTTTATTTATTTTTATTTATTTTTATTTATTTTTATTTATTTTTATTTATTTTTATTTATTTTTATTTATTTTTATTTATTTTTATTTATTATTTATTTTTATTTATTTTTATTTATTTTTATTTATTTTTATTTATTTTTATTTATTTTTATTTATTTTTATTTATTTTTATTTATTTTTATTTCTTTTTATTTCTTTTTATTTCTTTTTATTTCTTTTTATTTCTTTTATTTTCTTTTTTTTTCTTTTTTTTAAATAATAAATATAATATAGCTTTTTATAATTTTATTATTATTTAATATAATTAAAATAATATTTCTTTAATTTTTTAATTATTTATAAAATATTTTATATCTTATATTTAATAAAAATAATTATTATTATTTTATTAAAAAAATAACTTTTTATTTCTTTATAATACTTTAATTATTTTAAAAAAGTTATTAATAAAAATTATAAATATATAACTTTTTCTTAAATATTTATAATAAATTTTAAAGAAGCTTTTTTTTATAATATAATATATTAAAGCTTCTTTCTTTAAGTTTTATTTAATATATAAACTTTTATTAATTTAATTATTTTTTTATTTATAACTTTTTCTAGCCTTTTAAAGCCTTATTTTTATTTATTTTATTTTAATTATTCTTTAATTATAAAGAAAAATAATTGCTTTTTATTATATTAAATTTTAATTTTAATAATAATATTTATAATATTTATAATAGTTTATTTAAGAAAATTTACTATTTATATAGTTTTAGCTTAGTAAATATAATGCAAATAAATTTTTGAAAAAGAGCTTTATTAATATTAATAGTATATTTACTTATAATATAGTTAAATTAGACTAATTTATATTTTTAATAAGGCACTTCCGGTTATTTAATTACTTTAATTAATTTGGCCGATTAATTATACTTATTTTTTGGCTAATTAATTGCTTTAATTAATTTGGCCGATTAATTACTCTTCTATTTCGGCTAATTAATTGCTCTTGGCTCTTCTTTACTATAACTCAATAAAGCACTTTTGGCTATTTAATGGCCCTTCTTATTTTATTAATTAATACTATTTTTTTACTGCAACTTAGTAAAGAAATGGGTATAGTCATTACCCAGATGTCAAACCTTTATTGAGCCAGGTCCTTATGTAGAGACCTTGGCTAAGGAGAGTTAGGGCTGACTAAGCGTGCATGCTTGTGGTGTGTTTTTCGTATGAGTCTTGGAGAATTCTCCTCTCCAGCAATCATTCACTCAAATTGTATCAATTTTGAAACGAGACCGTAAGCTCCCTAGCTACGTCTATCCAGCTATGGCCTCTTCACTTGACCCAAGGCTAGCCAGTCTCGGGTCTTTCCTACAAGGATATCCAACAATCCAGTATGCGACACCGAATTCCCCTAACTACTCGACCCTTAGAGTTACTTACAGCCTTGATAACCACGCAGTGCCTCTCGCAATTGTCCGTCCCAAGAATGCCGAGGAAGTTGCCGCAACCGTGAGATTTGCCAGAGCAAATGGGATCAAGCCCGTCGTAAGATCAGGAGGAAATAGTCTCTTTGGGAAATCCATGATTCAAGACGCTCTTATTATCGACATGCGCGATATTGCGTATATCAACATAAACGACTCGAAGACATCGGCTACTGTTGGAGGAGGTATCCTTTTCAGTGACCTTGCGGAGGTTTTGACCAAAGAGGGCCTTGCAACTGCACTTGGTACAATTCCCTTTATTGGCTACGTTGGTTGGTCGACCTATGGCGGGTATGGGCCATTCTCTGCTCAGTACGGCCTGGGTTGTGATAATATCATGGGAGCGAAAGTGGTCAATTGGAAGGGCGAGGTGGTCGAGGCGGACACAGATATGCTGAGAGGTATTCGAGGTGCAGGCGGTGCTTTTGGGCCTATTGTTGAGTTAACTATTAAACTCTACCCTCTGATGAATGTAAGCAGAATCCATGTTGAGCAATGATGCAGGAGAAACTCACATCCAGGCAGATTCTTGCTGGCATGATAATTTACGATTCGACAGACATCGTTGTCACTGCCCAAAACTTTGGCTTCGGTTACCAGAAACTTTCAACTGAAGGACTTCCGCCCGCGTTGAGTGCACAGCAACTCGTCATGAATTCGCCCCATGGGAAAGTCTTCGCCTGCGCTTTCATCTGGGGATCTGATGATTTTGAGACAGGCCAGGTTTATCTCGCGAAGATCGCAGCTTTGGGAAACGTAGTGATGAACACCGTCGGGCCGAACACCGTCGCTGGCTACTTGCAACACCTGAAAACCGTCGTACCTCCGAGTGCTTATGGATCTATGGAAACGATTTCTATCCGCGAATTGAACCCCGAGGCTATCGCAGTTATAGCACGAAACGTTGAGAAAATGCCCTCAATTAATGGAGCTAAATTTACCATGCACGAGCTTCGCGGGCCTTCAGCTGCTCCTAATTCCGAGTCCATATTTGGGGCAAGAGAGCCGCATATGGTGCTGGAGATTATCGAGACAGTCGTCGAACAGGCGGATCTGAAGAGGACGGAAGACTGGGCGGACACATTCATCGGCGAGCTAAGAAAAATGGATCCCGGGAACATTCTTCGTAGCACTTACATCTCCGTGACGCGACCTGGGTCTAACTCTTTCGAAAATATTTTTGGGTCCAACTATGGAACCCTTTTAGAGATGAAGCGAAAACACGATCCGCAAGGCATCTTTGACTTGGCGCAGCCGGAAGTAAATAGTCTCAAGTAACTGAATTCATGGCGTGAATATAAGCACTAAGTTTGCTCCCAAAATAGATCGCGTGCTTCCCAGAACGCGACTTTCATCCTGTAAAGATGCTGACCGAAGGTGCAAGTGCAGGAGGTTTCACGAAGTCACAGCTGTACGAAGGTTTTTAGCTGTGGCGCCTAGTTTTGAATATAGAGAATGCCAAGGCTATAGCAAACTGGTGGAGTTTCACCAGTCGCTCTCTGTTGCGTCTCAATGCCCCAGGAGTCTAATCAACATCTAGCTTAATATCCCTCGCAATGATGTTCAACGGCCACGCCATAGTCCACAACCATGCCGACCGTTTTGGCGACTCCACATCATGGTCCACTACTATTGGCCGGTCTATTCAACAAGACTCCATGCTACTGCATCTGAACCTCCTACCTAGGTAAGTTACTTAAGGTACTTAAAGTACTCGAGTAAGTTACTGAGGTTACTTGTAAAATTAAGCTTGGGTGAGCTAGGGGTAATTTATAGGAATAGGAGCAATATATTAATGCAAAAGCGATATATTGAGAGTTGACAATGCGTAGAATGACTAGATACAGCAGAGTAAAGTCTGAAAATAGAGAGAAAAGTGTTCAAAGTATAAGTCTTATTTCTATTACTTATTAGCAATATGGGTAATTCCAAGCCCTACTTTCTTTAATATATTATAAATTAGTTAATAAAGCAAATAACTAAAATAATTATATATTAGTAAATATTAGTAAGCTCCGCAGTAATGCATTATAAATGAAAGTAGAGAGTACTAAATTAGTAGTTGAACCTGGTACTAAAAGGGCTAGTAAGCTAGCCAATCTAGTATACTATTAATTCAATATAATTAGTACTTGAGTAAGAGCAGCAAGCTTAGTAATTATATAGAAGTAAAAGAGAGAGGAAATTGATTTTTTAATATCTAGGTTTACGATATCAATTATATAAACTTTTCTACTAAATGCAACGCTCTGCGATTTAGCTCTGTCCCCGGCAGTATACGCCCGTTAAAACGCAAAGATTATTAGTATACCTAGAATATTCATACTAAAATATCTTATATTATTCCGGGCTCAACTTTTTATTTTAATAATAATTCCCCTTCCTTTTAAGCAAAACACTTTCCGCCTTCAAGTCACCCTAAATCTCTCTTGGAACACCTGTTATGGCCTGGACAAGCTATAGAAGTGAAATGTGATATACTTTGGTATAAATATATATAAATAATAGTACTCTAAGGGCGGTAAAGAAGCTATATATACGCCTGTATATAGCACGTGATATGCCCTCCCTTAAAAAGAAGAAAATGTCCCTGTTTGAGCCTAGCCTATACCCTTAACTAGCTCCTCAACTCTCTTCTCCTCCTGTTTATTAAAATTCTAATACTATAAATTCGCCGGACTAGGGCCGCTACTACTAGAGCTACTAAGATTACTCTACTCTGGTTTAACCTGGTAAGCTCTAGTCTTATAAGGCTTGCAAGAGTAGTTTCCTGGAGCTGGGAAGTCCTTAGAAGCCGAATTGAGAAATAGAATAGTACCGGTAAGGGGGTTAGGAAGATTAGAAAGAAGATTTTGATTTTATCTTGGCTAAGGGGCTTAATAGGCCATATTTAGCCAGAGGCTCCATTTTCCGTTAATAGTAGTTAAGAACTAGCCAAGAGTAGTTATCTCTATTAGTTTATTAATATAGCTATATAAAGGAGTATTAAGGGAATTATATATTAAGAGAAGAGTATTAAACTCAGACTCAAAACCAGAAGAATAAGTAAAGTAAAGTATCTCTTATATATATACGGATATTCTTACTAGAGCGAATATTATAAAAAGTAAATTAAGAGGAGACCAGGATATATAAGGTAATACTAGAACGTTTCTTAAATCGTAAAATAAGAGAAGTATAAAGCTCAGAAACTAGAGCGGATAAGAGAAGATAATATTCTAGGGGTATAAGTTCTATTGAATACTAAAAGAAAGCGGTATTATAAAGGCAAAAAGAGAAAGCCGTATAAATATCGTTATATTGAGTCTCTACCAAATATAAGAGTATATTCGTAAATGCGAATACGTCCGTATAAATTACCGTCTTTCCTATTATATTCGTATTCTCTAGATTAAAATAACTAATATCTGTAGTATATAAGCAAGAGAAAAGAGGGTTCGATATTGGAAATGGACGAGCAGGAGGGGTATCAGGATCCGGGGTCTCTCGCAAGTTCATTTATTAAAGGAGCTATATAATCTATTATAATTCGGTATCGTTAAAGCCATCCTTTTGGTTAAATTGCTAAGGGGTCTGCGTTGAAAGAGAAACAGAGGGTCATTGTTCTTTGTCTTCTTCTTCTTCGTCTTTGTCTGCGGAGGCAGAGGCTTGTCTGGCAAGGGCTTTGCCTCTTTTGGATACTGGGAGGTTCTTTGGGGCCATTCTGGAGGATGGCGTGTGTGGGTGAGGACTCAATTAAGAGCTCGCAATAAGGTATTAATATGGAGGTCGAGATCTTAGGGATAAGGTATTAATATGGAGGTCGACCTTAGGGCATTGCTACCATGTCACGGCCTGAACAAGCTGTGGAAGTGGAATGTGGTATGCTTTGGTATAAATATGTATGAATGATGGTGCCCTAAGGGCGGTGAAGAAGCTATATGTACGCCTGAGCGCAGCACGTGACAATACCTCTCCAATTGCCAATTTCATCTGAACTACGTTTGCGCACCCTCAAAGTAAACTTGCGAAACTCAACGAACCAAATGGCAACCCAATAGAAACTAGAAATCAAAAGGAAAGCAAAGCTGATCCCTACAAAAATGAGGAACTTGGTGCCTTGCGCCGAGTAGACACCCACGCTATTGCCAATACTGCTCGCTACTAGGTTCAGAGTAGCGATTACAGCTGTTGACAGTGCTGTCCCAACGGCATGGAAGATCCAGCCCAATATGGAAAAACTTAAGTTCAAGTAGACGGCAATCGAGCTCCCCGGGAGGAGGAAACCAACACCAGAGCCGATTGCTGTCATAGCACTTCCGATAAGACCAGTGTGCGAAAAAATTAATCTGATTAATTGATTAATTCATGAATATTCACGAATAGCGTGAATAGAATTTGATTAACGTGATACTTATGTAATTTGATTAGATTAGAATAATTAATCATGAATATTCATGAATACCTTGATTAATATACACGTGACCGCATTAGGTAATGAACTAGCCTAATCAAGTAAGGTTCTTGCTCTAGCACTGCCTTAGCGAGCTTTTCTCTCTAGGAGCAAGGTAGCACTAGAGCCAGATCCTTATCTAATTAGGTTAGCCTATCACGTGTGGTGGTCACGTGTACATTGATCAAGGTATTCATGAATATTCATGATTAGCTTAATTAGTTCGTGAATAGAATATGATTAATGAGAAAATTTCATGAATAGATTAGATTAATAGCCATTAATCTAATCTAATCTATTCATTTCTCACACTGGATAAGACTGAGGATGAAGAAGGCGAGAATAGCCTTGGTCAAAATTGTAACGGCACTGGTGATGGTACCGCCTGTGCCAGACACGGAGGCCAAGATAGGAACACTGATATTTGTTGTTCCGAGTGTGATAGAATTTGGAATACTGAAATTAGAGAGGCCTGGAGGATGCCGCTTAGTCTAGAACTCAATGAAAAATCAGTTAGAACTTTAGACTTGGACATACCAGAGGCAGCATTCGGATATGTCGTGCAGCGGGTACTGTTGGCTGCAGAATTCGGGTCGCTACCATTATCAAAGCTGCCCATACAGATCCCATTGACGTAGAGACTGTAGTATTGCTGAATACCTAATTCTTTGGTAATGTTTGCTGCCAATCCCTTTTCCAAGTTCGTAAGGCCGCTATCAAGGTCTGTTGTGAGATTCGAAACAATGCCATCGAAAACGTTGCCCAAATCTCCGAGGATGCCTTGTGCAGGCCCTAGAAGTGAGCTTAGAAAGCCACCAGCTCCAGCCGTCGAAGTCGCCCCGGTGCTAACGCGGATTGAGCCGCACTTGCACTTGGAGCTAAGCCAAATGGGTCGAGTATAGAGTTTCGTTTTTGTGTTTTTGTAGCAGGAGTAAATTTGACAATGTTCTGACCAACATTCGATGTATTTAACTTATTCAAGTCAGCGTGCAGCTCGAATTAAGAGGACGGAAGAGTTTACAGTGACCATGTCGCCATCTTCAAAGATGTTGGGATGTGAGCCCGAGAGAACAGCCAGAAGGGTGAGGGCAAAAGCAACTGTTGATAAGGTAAACGGAATGACAGCCCCAAGTCGAATTCCGTTCCTTTTTCTGGGAACATCCATATTCAATGCGGTCGTTGATGAGGAGTGGATGCTGACCATGTTATTGAAGATCTCGATGTCAGTTGGTTCAATGCCCTTCGAGGAGAAAGAAGCAAGTTATATTTGTATATATGTTCAAGTTGATGTCTCTTGCCAAGAGAGTATGATTGATAGAGGTCCTTTTATTTTAGCGATGCGAGCTTCAAGTTGGTCCCAAAATCTGAGGGTTCGACGGGAATCATTCTATGGTCGGTGCTGTAAGTGGTGAAACGATTCTGGGTTGCGAGCGAATAAGGAGAAGAAGAACATTCCGATCCGGTTTGACGTGTTCGGGCAGGGGTGAAACCTGTCAGAAAAGAACCATTTCGGATACGCTAGGAGAACATTGAGTTCGGGCCGCTCAGGATCAGAGGAGCACAAGAGAGGACTGGACTCCATCAATCATGTTGCACGTCCAGGCACCACACCCCGCTACAACGAAAGATCTGTTTCTCTTACGGTTGTATCTCCAATGTGCCAGGGTTATATGATTTGGGTGAAGATGAAGTGTGTCTTGAATCTCGCTTAGAATGCCTATTACGGGCAAGGACCCCCTATGTCGAGTCAGGACAACCTCTGAAACCGATTATTCGTCCCCTACACTACACGGTCGCGAACTACCATTCGCATGGATTCTGCCATCAGCAAGATTTGAACAGGATGGTATTTCCTATTGCATGCACGATCTGAGACCCTCATCCACCTTGGTGTAAACCTCAAGCTTATGGTTCGCACACTTCAAAATGAGGACAGCCCTCGACTCCAGGACTCTGAAATGCATGGTCGGTATTAATGTTTAAGCTGCCAATAAAGTTCTCATGTTTCAAGGGAAAACTTTCCCATACATGAAGAACATGATTGCCTCCACACCCGCATAACGCGCAGGGACCGATAGAAAACCTAATCTACAGAACGACGTACATTAACATCAACTAACATACTGTTCACCCCCTCTTGGGAGACCTCCACTATCTTCAAAAACCATTCATCAGAGCTCCGCCACTAATGTGATGTCTAATGCCGTAGATATTCTTCTTGATATAGCACTAGTGCAACCTGGAATAAGTCTCTCTGACAGGTTATGTGCCAAGGACTTATAAGCCGCAGTAGGCCATTTTGGAGGACTTCATCAGTGGGAAGTGGCGAATAATGATATGAACAGTTCCCTCAAGGTACCGTTTCTTCTTCCTCTCTAATCCTATTTTTGACTCGATACAGGACACCTCACAACAACTAACAGCAACGCCAATACTTCGACTACGGCGGCTCCATAATCTACTGCCTCACAGCATAACCCATCAAGTCTCTCTCCTCCTAATCTTTACCCGGGTTTTCTCAACACTTCGAAAAATAACCTACACAATCTACGGAGGTCGCGGCCATAAGTGTTGCAATCGGCAGGGATGTATGCCAAGCCTCGGGACGCCACATGCCACTGGCCTAGCAACGAACCTCCGGGGCTCGACAGACTGTAGGAATAGTAGGTTTAGCGATGTTCATAGGGCCTGTGCGCTATATTTTAGCCCAGGAAAGCCTGTAAGGCCCTGTAGTTACAGCGCTTCCTGGTTGCAACGACCCTGCTACGTCAGCGAGGAGTGACGCCGACGCTGGTAGTTGCAAGACTTATGGCTGCGATCTCCGTACTTCTTCATGCTTTCAATGCTCATCTACTACCTCACCATTGTCGTCATAAAAATACAAATCTGCGCTCCCATCCCGTCATTCCGGGACCGCAACATCGCAGGTACATGTTTCAGTGAACACGCGTGATTCATCGGAACACGGTCATGTCTGCAAGCACTGATCTCGCGGTGCTGGTTATCTCCAGATCAGCGATCTGGGGACTGCACATACCGGTCAAGAAGAAGATTACGGCCAGGAGCTTTCTGGCCGCCGGCAGAGTGGAGGTTCTGTTGGGCTGGTTTGGCGAGATTGGTTATGGTCGTGAAGGGTGGGAATGATGCGGATTTGACGTTTAGTATTCTGAGGTTCGATTTATTGGGGTAAGACTACTTTCTAATCCTTCGCTACAAGGGGAGTTTGGGTATGTGCTGATAAAGTGTAGGTCCGCAGACACGTCGATAGGACTAATCTGTGCCTCGCTTACGGCATGCAATGTCTTCTTCGCTCGACCTGGCAGCAGTTTCTTCTCGCCCAAGGCGCCGAAGAGTAAGAATTCTGGTGGGAGCACTGGCCTCGAACGAAGAAATGTGCGGTTGAAAAAGCGTTCTCAGAATGGGACAAATGTGCGGAAAATGAGGAGGAGTTTGCCTAGTTGATTATATGATGGGGAATGCGATGAGGATGTCCTTGTGCCCAATGAGCAGCGTGTGGGAGCTGTGGGTAGCAGTTGAAAGGAGCTTGGATGCGGAGAGGAAAGCTTTGGTGTCAGAATTGAAGAGCAAGGGGAAATCGGGACGGCAAGGTGAATAGACATTAGCATAAGAAATATCTTCAGTCGTGCAAACACCTGGCTATAAGGTTAAACCTCTTTCTTGCAAAGGTCAGAGAAGTGGGCGTTATGAGTAAAACATGGTGGAATAACCCCTCAGCGTAAAATTCGTGGCTCATGACCCGCTAAAGTCATCGCTTTACAGCGCACGAAAGCCTATAAATCCAGGGCTTAGCCCGCTATAAATTGATGCCGAAATTGCAACGAACCTGTGAGCTTGGTTATTGGGCACTAGTGGAGTGGTATGAGCGGATGATTTGAGGTAGGGTTTACTTCGTATGGAGGGGAGTGACTATGAATGGGGAGAGAAATGAAGTTAGAAAGGGAGTAAAGATTATCTTTGCTCGCTTAGCTGTATGCAATTGTTGTACTGTACATAAACCACGTGTCGCAAAATATCGAAGGCAATTGGAGATGCAAGCATGACGTGACGGTCAATTGTAAAGGAGCTAAACCTCTGAAGCCATAGTCTTTCCCGAGAAGCAAGCCGTGCAAGTATGTAATCAGGTACAGTGAGAAAGGAAGGTATGCATCATATCCACCAACGCCATCCAGGTCATTTGAGACCATCGCGTCTAGGGTATCAAATTCGTCGACATGAGAAGCCACTCTGGCTTTGTGATATTCGCCAAACGCCGTGATGTAATCGTCGCATCATAGTTGATACATCAAAAGAAGAAAGAAATCATGATATTCGTGGCTCGAGAGAGCAAGGATGACACCAAAACGGCGCCGGTGATGAATGCGAGAGCGAACCTGACCAAAACATTTCTCATGTATGTCAATTCGTGGTCAAGAACAAGTCGAAGGCCTCTGCCGAGAAATGTATGCTTTGTCGCGACATTTCGAGAAGTGATCAATTCTCAATATCCGACCACATATCCGAATCGTAACAAACATCCTCAGCTGGCATACCACTTCGTCGGTCGAACTCTATCCATTTCTTCTCGGGATTGGTGAGCGAGTCGGAGGTCCACTTCCAAACTGTCCTGCCAGGCTTGTACATAGACTTGGGGGGTTCGCCGCCCTTGGGGTGAATCAGAGTCTTGGCAGACTTGAATTTGGGTTCCATGTCAGCCCGAACGACTCGTTGAGCAATTCCGTGTCCCTTGAGAGGCCTAAGACCCGAGGGGGTTGACACGAACAATGGAACTGCCGATCCAATCAGGCCTTCGTCTCGCACGAGTTGGTGAAGTACTCTCTCCTCATTCGTGAAGCCCTCGTCGGTGATGTCTCCTTCCGGTGCGCCGGTGATCAGCAACTCATCAACCAGTTTACCGAGTTGCCAACGAATCAGAGCGCTAAACTGGTAGCCGCCGTAAGGGAGGTGGTCGCAGAAGTTGACGAGGTCGATTCGCATCGTATCGAGACCAGGAAGCAACTTTTGACGGAAGACCGAGGCTGGGGTAGGCATCAAAAGAGCTTTAAGGAAATCTGCAAGTTGCTCCCAGCAATAGGCCTGGATGCCCTTGTCTTTGATCATCCCAGGAGGTCGTGCAATGATGGGGATCATCAGCTTATCGATTGAAGAATGGTAATCAACGTTGCCGGTAAGATCACGTCTGCCAGCAGCTTCATCATAATATCGACCAACGACTCGCAGAGTGACTTGCTTCACTGTGGTACGCAAGTGATGTGGAAGCTTGGCGAGGTTCTCCAGAGAAGCAGCTTGAGTGAAGATGAACGAATTGTTGGTAAAAAGAAGTTGCAATCCTTCGACCCGAAATGCCTTGCACGTCGCGAGGAAGTGAATATTGATTTGCTTTGTTCGCGACCACTCTTCCTTCGTAACGTTGTCTCTGCGAATCTTGTAGAAAGGATCGATGATGGGGTCTGGGCTTGTCAAAGAATGGCCAAGAATTCGAAGCTGGATCTCGGTGGGGAGTTGGGGGAGAGGTCGGTTTGGGAGTTGCATCGAACGGCGGGCGGATCGTCGGCGAGGTTGGAGGGCGAAATTGACCGACGGCTCGCAGGGGATCTTGTGCGCTGCCAGAAGTGCCTTCAATCGCTTGATCTCATCGAGGTTGTTCCTGTTTTCCTTCTCGAGGGCATCATAGCGACGAGAGGCCAGGGAAGCGGTGGGATCGGGGCCTTCCATCATGCAGACCTGGTCGCAGACTCTGATTAGCTGGTTACCTCTATTTGTTCTCGAATTGATACTTACATGGCGAAAGGCCGGAGGCATGCCGAGGTGATTGTGGTTGCTCATCTTAACTTGATAACGTCGATTACGACAGACCGTTGCCGATTGAACGTGCCCGAGGGAGCCTGTTGTTCTCACCGATGCGGAGGAGGCTGTCTGGAGATAGAGCTATCGCGGGTGTCTCTCTTTGGCGGAGCGATCGCTCCTGCGGAGTGAATTGGGCCTATCAAGGAGAGATCGTAGAAAATAGAAGGGGAGAGAGAACGAAAGCTGTAAGGACAGAGTCTGTCAGTGTATTGAAGGATGTTAGTTTGGGATATCAACAGGTCGAACGCAGAGGGAGGCGCTCTTCGCTCTCGAATTGTGTTGATGAAGAGGAGGGAAAGAATGCGGGCGCCAGGACGCGAAGTCGCGAGAAATAAATTTAGAGCGCGAAGTACCCCGCACCACGTGACCTGGCCAAAACGTCATTGTTTACTTCGCCCCTTTTTAACACCTGACTAGTAATCAAGCTCGACGATGTCGAGGGTTCTCCTGGCGAGATTCAACTGATCTCCATCAGTGATTGAATTTGTGCCCCTCGTCCTCCGTTACCTAAGCTGGCTCTGACCACACTGGTGACACGTGGGGCTTTTCCAGTGACGTCAAGATCTCACCCCGCCATCACTTACTTAGATCAATGACGATGCTTCTATTCTTCCTTTCGCTCCACTTGAAAACGCCTTCAAATCCATAAAATGTAAGTTTGTACCTCTTCAATAAAACTATGAAACGTTGTATTTCCTTCAGACCTCTTCCTGGCCATCCCCGCAAGCCACCTGCAAGAACCCTACGTCTATTGACAACAACTGTTTCCAGAGGAACTCAAACCGAAAGCACTCCCCAAACCAAGCTCTTCGGAAATTACACAATGTCTTTCTCAAACACAAACACGGGAGATAAACCAGCGGACCCCTACAAGGAAAAGAACCTCGACGATGCCTCCATCAAAGACAAAGTCGAGGATCTCAGCGAGTTCGTCACTGCCTGCAAGTTTGGCATGATGACCACCCGTGATGGTTCCACTGGAGATTTGGCCTCGCGATGCATGGCCTTAGCAGCCAAGGTCCGCCCCTTTCTCCTACTTCAGGTATTCTTCACATCTAACTTTTCAACTAGGAAAACGGCGGCATCGACCTCATCTTCCACACCAACACCGAGTCCGGCAAGACCTCGGACATCGACTCAGACCCACACATAAACATCTCTTTCCTCAACTCCGCCGGCGAATGGGCCTCCGTGTCCGGTACCTCGGAGATCGTCACCGACCGCACTGTCGTCAAGAAGTACTACTCTCCAGCATTGAAAGCATGGCTGGGTGACCTGGGTGATGGAAAGCATGACGGTGGACCGGAGGACCCAAGGATTGGCGTCATTAGGGTCACGGCTAAGACGGCGACTTATGCGGTTACGAGGAAGAATGCTGTTAGTAGGGGAATTGAGATGGCGCAGGGTGTGGTTACGGGGAAGGCGCCCGCGGTCAATAAATTGAGGGAGATTAGTGGGCAGGAGATTCAAACTTGGAGAAGCTCTAATGAGATGGTGCAGTAGATTCTCTGCTACGAAGGCTCGTGAATATATAAACTATGGGTAGCATCGTTCTCCATGCCAAAATAATTCAGGAGATTCACGGGAAGTCCAACGTGATTTAATTGACTCAAGCGTAGCCCATGTTTATTGCTGTCTTTATTCTGTGAATCTGATTTATGTGGATTTGGTTGGATTGAGTTGGTGTATTCCAAGATGTTTGTCGGGTGAAAGGATATGAGGTATTCAGGGAATAGATTTTGGCGGTCTAAGAGGGAAAATGTGTAGTTCAGTAGTTTTGACGAGGTAATTTGTTCGTGATTCACATATTCGAAGCTCAGTACTATTCAGGACACGACAGAAGTCGTAGAATAAAGTAAGGTGACGTGGACCGTGATATTAACTCAAACCTTCCAAATATCGCGTTCTCGATCACGCCCAGCCAAACTAGGTTTGTCTCTCTCTGCGGTTAGATCACCTCATCAATCTATATTTCCTAAGATAGCTCTTCCACGAATCTTGGTTGGATATGAGTGCATACCCAACCGCCGTGATCAAATTATTTAAATTCCGATGGGTAGCCTGCCGCCGCTCTCTGTCCTCGTCCAGCTTCCGAGTTAGCTGGTGAGTTTCTCTGCCTGCTGTTTTTTATCCTCCTCTGGCTTTCGAGCTAGCTTGCCGAGTGTGTTAGAGAGCCTGTTACTGCTGCTTCCAGATCGCCGTGGCGATGGTATGGGGCGCACTCCGACAACATGGGTGGGTTTGAATATTTGGTGCGAGTCATGTTCGCCTGTCGGTGGAAGAGAAGAGAAGATTTTCTTTGCGGTTGACAAGGTTGCTAGTTTGTGATTCGATCTAAGAATGGGAGGAGAAAGGGGGGTTTGGGTGTTAAATAGATTTGGAAATGTCATCTTACTTGTTTGTGATTGACCTAAGCTTTGAATCTAGAATCATCATTATACAAAGGACGATGCAGGCAATAAAACCAGGGGCGCCAGTGGATGTTCCACTAACTCGAGCCTTTCAAGGTTACCTTATACGTTGTCTGCTCTTAACTCATCGCTCGTGGGCTGTCAATATTCATTCTCAGCCAGAACCACGCAACCCCCTCCCTCAAATCTCATCACTTCCTGTCCAATATTCCATATCCCCTAAGATACTCCTTCCAATCTCCACGGTAATAATGTTTAAGCCCGTGCTCCGTCGCCTTGATCATTCTATCTTTGTCTAGATCTGCAGCCAATTGATGGTCCTTATCATCCTCCAATGTCCTTTTTAGTTTGTCAAATGCTTTTCGTTGTTGAGAAAGGTCGTCAGATAGACGGTTTATTGCAGATTCAAGGTCCCCGTGTCGATGCTCCTGGTGGCGCTCTGAGAAGCTGGCAGCGGTAGAGGGTGGAAAGGGGGTCGAGGGGCTATCGATAACGGAGAAGACGGAACTTTGCTTCGGGGTCTTTTGAGTGGACATGATTCTCCCTTTCTCAAGTTTTAATCATGTTTTGAGAGATAATTCAAGTTGGAGGTCGTTCGTAGTGTTGATTTATCCTTGAAGCTGAAGGGGCTGGGAAGGGATCGGGGTTTAAGTAGAGTTGAGAATGTTGATATGGAAAGGTGTGATTGTATTGTCTTGGAGAGGCTGTGATTTAAGGCCGTGAATCGAGTCTACTGAGGCATCGAAACTCTATACTTGTCACATCTAGGGAATATATGATTATCTCTTTGATAACGAGGTAAAGTCTAACGTGTTTTGATTTTCTAGAAGCTAGCAAGAGTTTATTCCAAGATTCATCAATACCTCGACCTTCTCTCCAACTCCCTAATCCTATTCTCCTTCTCTCTATCCATACGAACCAGCCTATCCACCTCCCTCTCCAACTTCTCAATATTCTCCCGTCTCCTATCACTTGCATCAATGACCAACTTCAGCGTTTTATTCAGTTCCCTGATCCGGGCATCTGTCTCCTTGTCTGTGGCGCGGAATTCTTTTTGAAGCGCTGCAATGGCCTGCTCGTTAATTACAAGCTCGCGTGCGTATTCCTTACCTTGCTCGGAAGACTTGGAGTTGATTTCACTACGGAGATTTTCGAGCGTGGTACGGAGGAGATGGAGTGAGACGTAGGAATTCATTTTGGATATTTTAATTCAAGGTTTGATGTGAGATCGCTGGTGTTGGTGGTTGTACTAGAGTTGGAAGATGTTCGAGATGGAAATGAAGGCCGACCAGGAGAAATGCGAGGCTTAAATAGACACGCAGTTGCTGGTGTGTGAATCATTTTAAGATCCATGCGAGCAGTGACTAAGTGTCCTTTCGCTGCTGTAGGAAAATGAGGGGGCCGTCATTGTACGAAGATTGGGGCATAAAGTGACGGGATTACAGGGCATTTGTACTGTACCGCAAGTTCACTTTCAGGCCACTTTCTACCCCTAAAACCCACTAAAACCCACTATATATCCAGGACACTCTCCTATAAGCACGCTATAAATTATAAACCAGGGGTACTACACCTTTAGAAGGCATATCCCCTGTACATAAGGGCAAAGTCGCTAAAGGGACCTAGCTCCTCTCATAGAGTCCGAGCGCTACGGTTGCTCTGCCAGCAGTCTATACCCCCTGAAGATCTTCCACGACCTTGTAAATCTCTCACAGCCCTGATTTGGGGCTTTAGGCCTAGAGTTACAAGGCCATCCGTTCCGCTGCAGCCAGGGACGACTTTCGCGAAAAGTCAAGAACATCACAAAACCTCACATTGCTAATCCATTTCACTTGGCTAAATAGGTATAGGAATTAAAGAAGACTTTATTTAAATATCTCAAAAGGGTGCTTTAGGAATCCCGAAGAGGAATTAAGTTTCATTATTTTTCGTGGTAAATTATTTCAAATTAAACTGATAAGAAAATTCGCTTTACGAAAGTCGTCCCTGGCAGCAGCGGAACGGATAATCGTTCGGCGCTTCCCACCCAGTTTCTCGCTTAGCACGCTTAATGGGTGAGGGTCAGCAATACGCAAAGCACAGCAATGCGCAAATCCAAATTTTAGTGGGGACACACCAAAATCGTCCGCCTCGCCCTTCAAAACCTAACACAATTAATAATTACTTAAGTTGTGGCAATTAATAATAAGATATGGGCCTTTCCGTAAGTCAAATTTGAAAGGCAAAAAATAAAGGCGTTATCGTTGCGTAGTCTGTATAAGTTCCCCATACAAATTTTGGTCTGATTTTGGTGTGTTTTGCGTATTGCTGCCCTCACCCATTAAGCGTGCTAAGCGAGAAACTGGGTGGGAAGCGCCGAACGATTAGCGGGCGTAGTACCTTAAACCACACCCTGGAGTCCGCTAAGACCCCTACGCGCGCATAAATGCCCTGCAATCCCGTCACATCATACCGCAATCTTCGTATTCTAAGCCATATGCGATATGGAATATCTTTTATGTGCATTGGCATATGTGAATAGAAGCACCTTCAACTATGAGAATCTATCATCAATTCAGAGGAATATCTATCGGGAATTGTGAAGCCCGTTTTAACTCCCACTTGTCCAGCGAGTTTCCACAAGCTACCGACTGTCAAGCTCAAATGCGCAAGGTAGGCAGCCTCCTTCCCAAGCTAGCACGCCGCCCCGTCCTTATTGTACTTTGGAGGATACCGAGCTCTTCCTATTTTCAGCCCACGTCTTCTCCCCCTTCAATTTATTCAGCTCCGCGCACTCCTCCAGCCACCTAACTTTAGCTTCCAGGCTGCCTATCTGTTATTTATTGACTTCTGTATCATACTTCAAATTCATGCCCTCCCTAGGGGGAAAATGTAAAACGACCCCCCCCCCGAGTTCACGATTAGGGGTAAGAATACCCAATATCTAGCTTTCTCTTTAAATTTAATTTACTTTATAAGGGATTAATAAATCTTATTTTTTAAAATTTTATGTACTAATTAAGAACTAATTAAATATATGCTTTTTATAAAAATATAAATTAAAGAAGTTAAAAAGTTAATATTTTATAACTTAAAGGCAAGCTTAAAAAAGCCTGGGAATTTAGTAAACAATTTCCTAAAACCAGATATAAGAGCCTTATAAGTACTTAATTTATAAGTTATTATAAGGCTTAAAAATCAGAACTTAATTAATTAGTATATAAATCCTTTTAGATTAGAATTATATTTTAAGATATTTTTTATTATAAGTTAAAAAGCGCCTATTTATATTATAAATCTTATAATATATTAACTTAAAGTTTTTAAAGAGTTAAAGTAACTAATTATAAGTTATTAGTATTAAGAGAATACCATTTTACTTTTCCCCGAAATAAGGGTTAAATATAATAAAGCAAGTAAAAGGGATTTAAAAGCAAGAATAAAGAAAGGATTTATATAAACTCTAGAAGAGGAGTTATAAATCTATAGCAGGTCAAATCCCTCTTACAAGAAGATAATAAAAACAAGCGTTTTTTTTGGCCGTTTTACGAGCTATATCTTATTCTTTGGGCCACTTTTTATAACTCTACTTTTAAGCCTTAGGAATATAAACCCTTAAGGATCTTAGTCGTTCTAGCTTATACGAGTAATTTAATTCACCTTTTATGATAATTAGACTTAAATTAACAAAGATATAAGGGAGTTAAACTTGATAGAAGAGGTGCGAAGGGAAAAAGCCGAAAACTGTGCGTACAGGCAAAAATCTGAAGTTTTTACAAGTTGCTTTAGTGCTCCACAAACGACATGGAAATGGAATATATCTTCATTAAAATGGTGTTTCCAACTCTGAACTGGTATATCGTATACAAATTTCCCTCTCCATGAACCAACTGCACAATAAACACCAGAGCCATTACACACTCGCAGTAGTCGCCACGGCAAACGGCACACTACTCTTCGTAGCATAAAGATTAAATTGCTTCGCACCGCCACACATTGCGGTCCCCGTGCTCGTCGCCCCCACACTCCCAGAACAAATATCCGTACAAGCGTGCCTTCCATACAAACTCGTCACAGCGCTCGTGCCAAATGCAAAACTGCTCCCAGCATAGCATTCGCGGTGATACTCTACGTAGTAGAAGGGGTAAATGGTAGGTGTTGGTTTGGAAGCGAGAGAGGAGACGAGAGATCCGCAGACTTGCGGCGTGATGGAGTTGTTTGCTAGGAGCAGGGGCAGTGCGTGTCCGGTTGACAGGTCTGAAAAGCAGCCCATGTATGCGTAGCCTGTTGCCGTTGAGGTGCTGGAAGAGGAGGTTACGGTGACGAGGGTAGATGAGGAGGTGGTTGTTGTGGCGCTTATGGTGGAGGGGCCAGTGGAGGAGGACGTTGTGCTGCTGTGTGAAACAGAGGAACTTGATGAAATGCTCGAGGAGATAACTGAACTACTCGTACTTGATGTGGTAGAGCATGACGTTGTGCATGCTGACGCTGTTCCCACCAGCATGACCTCCTGCCATCCACCGTTGGACCAGAAAGTTAGTATCGAGGTCGAGGATCCGGTAGTGGTTGGCGTGAAAGTGAGAGTGATCGTAGTGCTGCCAGCTGCTACAATCGTGGCGCCATTTGTTGGGAAGCCCGTCGCCGTAAATGCACCTCCAACCACAACGGGTTTTCCAGATGTAGTGACATTTGTGTATGGGGCATTGTAGGCACTCCGGTAAGCAAACCCGGTAAAGGTCAATGTTCCAGCACCATCATTATTCACAACCAGAGTGGCTGTTGACGAGCTACCTATCGTCAGTCCACCAAAGTCGATCTGAACGGCGCTAAGATCGATATATCCTCCGGAAGCCGAAACCGTTCCAGTCAGCGAGAGACTAGCAAGTGGGATGTTTCCACTGGGAGCATTGAGAGCGAGAGAGCCAGCGATAGCACCGGGCTTGACATCGATGTTATGGTTTTGTCGTGTCAGTTCGATCGCAGCCGAGGTCAGATTGAGTGTAACGACCATGGTGAAAGATCCGCCCGCGGCCACGGTAGCTGGCACCCCTGAACATTGGAAGACGTCTAGGTTGGTGGAACATCCGTTCAGTGTTAGGGATTTTGCACCAGCTGTGCATTTGACGTTGATATTTTTCGTAACACCAGCGACCACAGTTCCAAAGCCAACTGGGCTGGGTGTACACGTGATTGCAGGTGTTGTGGATGGCCCTATTCCCAAGATTTGGTTCGTCTCGGTGGTGTACACTCTTGCATTGCCGAATGAGGGGCGCTGGTACTTCTGCAGACGTCCAGTGGAACCCATGGAGATTGGCGACAAGACATTCCCATTTGGGATCGCATTATAAGCCACTAAGCCGTTGTTGACGTCTGCCAGCCATACCTATAGCAATGTTAGATTCTGTTCTCATTCCCGCTGTTGAACTTACAATTCCAGTCCCAGCTTGTCCATTCAGACTGGTGACTGTGGGTGCTCCAACACCGGCGAACTGAATGGCAGATTTCCCTGCAAGCGTAAATTGAGGCTTGCCTCCACCTCCATTAAATTTGTAGGCAGTGAGAAGCGCTCCGGTACCGCCCTGTGAAGTAGGGCAATAACTGATAGTATTGTAAGCGTAAGAAAATCGTGGAGGAAAGCCTGCACAAACTAGACATATCCGCCTTCTGCTGGGTAGCTTGCAACACCACTTAAAAGTTTGTTCGAGCTCGTGATCGTTTGTAAAACTAGTCTCAGTCAGCATATTCACATAGAAGAGTTGGCTACATAGCAGGTACCAGCATCTGATCCGCCGCTCCCCATGGCAAATCCTCCAAGATTGTCGGCGTCCATGAAATAGATCTTGCCACTCTTGCCCCCTGCCACGACCACTCGATTAACCCCTCCGCCGGAGAAAATGGGATCTAGGAGAGCAGCTCCAGATGACCCGAAATCAATGTCCCCTCCATCAAGAGAAGCATATTCGAAGGGCTCGAAGTAGTCCCGTTGGGAGAAAACACCTGCGGCGGACAACCCCATGTCGACAGTTGCTTGCTGGAGAGTACTAATCGGGACCTTTCCACTAGCTGGAGTTCCCTTGCCGTTGTCACCAGCTCCACCCGCTCCATTGCTACATGTTGTTAATAAAACGAGAATTTTATTTTGCCGGATAACGTACCCAGTGACAAAGAAAACTCTGTTGTTGGCAGTATCGGCTGCAATTCCAAATCCCGACTGCCAGATTCCAGCCTTACCACCACCTTGTTTCGTATAGTCCAATTGTTGGGGTTGAGGCGCGCCGGGATTAGCTTCCATTGCCATAATGCTAGTTACTCCGACTCCCTTTGTCTTGCTCATAGCAACAAGCATGCCTGTGTAATTAAAGTTATCGCAGTGCCCACCGAAGCCTCCAATAACCGTGTTCCCAATCATTGCTAGACCAGGCCGGTTAAGTACCGTACCGCCGACGAAATAACGGGTATGGTCGTTGTCTGCAAAGTGCCCATCGATGATGACTGCGGGGAAAACATCGTTGAGACTAGGAAGTTGGATAGCATAGAACTTATATTGCCCTGTAACAAGTCAGCGTCGAAGCAGTCTAGAAGTAAACAAAAACTCGATGTACCGTTGAGAGTTCCAGATCCAGTAGCACCTATTCGTGATTCAGTAATGTTCAATCAATTCTCCGCCAGAAGTTGGAAATTGACCTCCTTTGTATCCCTTCGAAAAAAGGTACATGATATCTGTACCCTGCCGAGGAAATTAGTACTGTACAATTTCGACAGAAGTTTAGTATGAGTATCAGCCCTACCGGGTCAATAATTGGTGTGCCTGTTATACCAATGGTAAACGGGATATCTCCACAGCTGGAGTCGGCTGCCTGGAAAGGAGGATCAAGGATTCTCTGGTTAATCACGGTGCCAGTCAATCCATCCAAAATTCTGATGATATTTTGATTGGAGACCACGATGACTTGCTCGCTCGAAGCACCTGGCGGTGTCCAAACGAGAGGCTTGGCATAAAATGCTTCGTTTGTATTGAATGCTATTTTCCAGTTGAGAACGAATGTGCTCGCAATGGCGGGGGATATGTTGTGATTCGGCAAATAACCAGATTGCGCTGCGTCCTGCAGCAGTATCAGCTTATGGATTGCTTATTTTGGAATCTGATACGTACGGTGTCCTGCAGGAAGTCTGTAGGAGCAACGCCACGAACAGCTGGTAGGGCCACTAGCCCGAGGAACGGTAACCACCTCATTGCGAGGAAACGAGTGAAGCAATTGACAGGAGAAAGAACGGCATAGAGAGGTAGCTCAGAGGAAGACAGAAGCTCTATATTTACGGAGTACGGGTGTTGTGTAACACAATTTCAATATTTTACGGCAACGGCCCGGCCATTTCAGCTTCCTCGAAGGCGTCGAATCAAGCTTTTGATGATACACACAAAGACAAGCCTTACCGTGCCTCGGACGGTATGGCGGCGGCTTCCAGCAATATCACCATACTTTGGGGAGGCCTAGTCCAATAGATTTTGAGGGATGTGAAGACCCTTGCTCTGCAAGCTCACTGAGACATGCATGGTACCTGACGAACTCCCCTGATCTTCAGCAATCTTCTTCTTCTCCCGCGCTGGAAACTTCAAATTAAACTGCAAGGAACAAAACCTGTTGAGTTCATATCTCAACTTTGCAATTGCACGGAATCAAAATAAACGGAACCTCTTCGTCTCGATTCTTGGCACTTGGCGGTCTTGGCAGAAACCAGACGAGAATAGTTGTGTGGCTCTCCATGGGCGATTTTCGTGAGGCTTTGTGAGGAATCTCGTGGGGTGACAGGAACTGCTCAAAGTTGACTAGTCGCCTGTGCGCCATCCCTATCGCTCGACGTCAGTGACATTTCCCGTATTATTGAACAACGCACCAAGCAATATTGGGCCCGGCTGACAATGACAGGGACCTAAATACAAAAAGTGATTTGAGCGGGCCTGTCCAATCTGACAGCGAGAAATACCAACCTTCGGGTTGCAAGCTCCCCAAAGAAGCTCCGCCAAGCTTGGTTCCTGGGGCTGAGATCTCATGAGGTGGTCAAGACCATCCCGTTAGTTGGAGTCGTTCGCATGTGAGTAGCTGTAACCCCGCTCAGGATGCTCGAAGATCAGTATGAAGGAGGCAATTTTGGCAGAGAGAACAAGAGGGGACCAAAAAAAACCGTTCGAGAAGAAGTAAAAATAGAGTTGGCTGGAGTAATTTCTGCAGCTTGAGCTAGTGAAGCTAGCAACCAATCAGGCTTAGCTTACGGAGGACCTCCCAGAACCTGGGAGAGGGGGAAGTAAAACGACACGCCTTCAGGTGTCGAATAGGGGTATCGAATAGGGGCCAGAGTATTAACGACTTATAATTGGCTACTTAAGCCCTTTCACGACCTTAAGTTAGATTTTTCAATATAAGTATAAGCTATTGTAATGGGGGTTTGATTGTTATATGGATTTCGGACCATATATAGGCGTTCAGATGCGTGGGAGAGGGTAAAAGGTGGTAATAAACTAAGCACTCAAAAGTAACACTCTCAATAGTAATAAAGAAGTAAAGTAAAGGTGAAAAATAAGGGGCTCCAAGATGTGATGTATTGGGAAGTCTAATTATACGTATGAATGGAAGTCTTATATAACCCCCTAAACTAGCGCCAGCATGCCTGGAGAGTACAACACGTGATAGTAGTCACGGGATAAGAAAGAAAAACCCCCACTATACTATTATAGTATACTCTAAGGCTTATAATACAACTATATACTTTTTTAACTTATAATAAAAAGATTTCTTAAAATTATAATTTAAATAAGTTTATATATTACTTAATTAAGTTCTAGTTTTTAAGCTTTATAAGACCTTATAAATCAAAGCTTATAAGGCTCTAATATTTAGTTTTAAGGACTTAATTTCTAAGTCAAGTTTCTTAAAGCTATTATTAGATTATAAAATATTAACTTTTTAGTTTCTTTAATTTAAAAATCTATTATTAATAAAATAAGCTCTAATAAGCTTAATAACTAATAACTTTAATTTCTTTATTAATAATTATAAAACTAATATATTATATTTCTAGTAATACAGTTCTTATATTACTTTTATAATAAAATTACCAAAAATATAATATACTAGCCCTATAATTATTACTAAAGAATTAAACTTACTTTTTTTTAATTAATTATTAATTAAATATATAATAATAGTTTATTAGAGCTTACTTTAATTATTAATTAAAGCTTATAAAAAAATTATATTTGAGTAGCCTTTAATTAGTTTTATAATAAAATAAAATAAAGTATTAAATTTTATTAATTCTTTATAAAGCAAATCAAATTTAAAGAAAAGGCTGGATTTTTAAATATTCCTGTTCGAGCGCCTTTACTTTTGGTTAGTAATCTTACATTAGCCCCCCAATCAACACCCCCAATCGACACCTGGAGGGAACCTAGAGCCGAAAGCTCAACCATGTTCCCCATTCTCGGCACCTCCCCAGAGAACTCCCACAATCCCCACGCACTTGGCACGCTTGCGAAATCTTCGTGGTTCGAGCGTGGCAACCTTGCCCCTCCTTGTGGTTGCATCCACGTTTGTTCTCAATACGAGTAGGATGGGGAATTGCAACTTGGCGGCAACACAGATGGTGCAACCCAGAGAAGCGCTGCAGACCGTCGGAGCGACTGGAGCAGCGATGATGATGGCAGCATAATTTCAATTCAACTCCTTGATTGGAGATGATTTTGCATTTGTATTGCTTCTATCACAAAACATGGACTTGCTGACCCGACCCTCAAATCCAGGATTTCCAACACTCCGCCTGCTTCCCCGCCCCACCCTAGAGAACTCAACAAGACGCGAGAATAAACTGTTCACTATCGAAGCACCGATACAAATTGAGTGCCTCGTTGTATAGGAATCGGCGAGGAACCACTTCTTGAAGTTGATTGAATTACAATTCAAAGTGGAACATCTGCCCAAGCACGCAAAGAGCCTGGCGTCGAGTAGCCTCCTGTCTGGTAACGATGGCCCTAATAGCGCCTAGACAGGGAAAACGGCTTCTGAAACCCTTTCAAGTGAAAGCAAGAAGTCAAGTTCATTGGTAGTGATCGAAAGGCAGAATCAAGTCGGATCATCTGAGGGAAATCGATGAAGCAGAAAACGCCTGTTTCCCAATTTGAAGTTATTCCTCCCTGTGTCTATCATAATACAAAGAATCTACAAGCTCCAATATCCCAATGCCTCAATATCGTAAAATCATTACACGACCCAATGCATGCACGGTCAAATAAAATCCCTCGGCACAGTCGTCGGCCTCCCATTTTGCTCCCCGCCATACACCACATCCCTTGACCGATTCTCCATCTCATAATAATTCATTCCCCCCCTCGGCGGCACATACGTCCTCGGTGGCGTTCGTTCCGGGCTATAACTCCTATTCTGCCACAGCCCTTCGCGCTCACCACTCGAACTCGAATTCGAATTCGTGCGATTGAGATTCAGATCTCTCGCCTTCGCATCTAATCTCGCAGCCTGTTCTTCAAGCAAAACCTTCTTCGTTGCTCCCATTTTGCGGTAGACGTACACTCCGGCAACAACGGTGGTGGTGATGGTGATTGCCAGCACGACATTGTTGACAGTGTTGTTTTTAGATTGCTGTTGCGCGAGCAGGACGCCAATATATACGATCACAATTTGCTTGGGCAGTGTGAGGAAGGTGGCGACGGCGAAGTGCCAGAATTCGACGTTGCAGGTTGAGAAGACGGCCGTGGAGAAGTGGGAGGGGATGATGGAGAAGCGAATGATGAGCACCACGAGGAATCCTCCGTCGCGAGTGAAGCGTGCTAGTGCTCCGTAATTCAGGTTCGTACGCTCCAGTTTCACGGCTTTCCTTCGGAATGCATATTTGAATGCGTACCATGTGCCGACTGCATTGGTTAGCAACATCTCAGGAGGAGAAGGGAGAGTACTCACTTTCTCCTACAAAGGTCCCCGCTGCTACAATGGCGAAGCCTATCCACAGACCCCAGACGACACCGCAAAGTAAAGCAACGAGTTCATGACCGAATAGTGGAGGGAAAGAAATCGCAATCAAAATGGCGACTGGGATAATGAAGCCTCCTGGAATGGCTCTGATCTTCTTAGATATAGGTGTTAAAGCCTAACTCAATTAGCACTCCTTCAAATCTCGTCTTGTAAGCGGGAAAATTTGAACTTACCTCCACAATTCTATCGTGATTGACCGCAAATAATATGGTGAGCACCCCAACCACAACCGCCAGAATCCACCATGCTTTTTCCGTCAGCACAAGGCTGGGCCTAGGGACGGGCAGGAGACGCACGTATATACTTCGGCTTCGTGACGAAGTCCTTGTACCTGACAGTCTTGTATTCATACTCCTCGACATCGTCGTCCGCCTGGGATTTCATCGATTTCTTTTGTGGAGAGTCGGCCATTTCAGTCTCTATCGCTTCCTGTTTTATCGGCAAAATTTGGCCCCGATCGATGGCTGAATCGCGATCTGTCCTGTACTCGCGCGCTCCCCTCCAATGTCAAATTTTCGTTGGTCAAAGATTTGTCTCGCGGTGTCTCTCCAATCTATATCATCGACGTCCAGATCCGGCTCTCAGTAAAACGAACATGAGGAAGAGAGTTCATGTTCTTGCGAGCTCGCAATGTGAGGATACCGAGCCGGAGAGGGCTGTGCAAATTGGCCAAGAACCAAAGCGCGTTTGAAGTTTGTGGGTGCGGTTTTACCTGGAACATGGGCGTGCTGGACCAGCCAAGCAGAGGCGAGAATCCGCCCTCCCACAGATCTGTCTGATTTGCAGCCGCCGTCCCACTCCTGTGCAGAGATCTGCGCCATTGCCCGGCACTGAGGAGGCAGGCTGAAATTAGAGTGCTGGGGGCGAATGATGCCTCTATTCTGGCTATGCTGCGCAGCATCCTCTGGAGGTGGCGTTTCAGGGAAAGGCAAAATGGCCAGTGCTGCATCGTGAGAACAACGTACTCTAACAAGATAAATGAAGATACAACTGCCTCGCGTCGTGCTTGGGGACAAGAATAGCTGCTGTTCCTATAAAAGGGGCACGAATCGAGAGGACATGTCTAGTTGGTAGAGCGTATGACGCCGGATGACAGATTTAGAATAGTGAATTCAGGGGTTTATGCGGCTTAGTCATCCACGGGGTAACATCATCTACCCCTCCATTTCCATCACCGACCTTCAACTTCAACCCACTATCATACCATCAGCGGAAAAGCTCAACCTCAACCTCAAATCTTCACACAACTCTTCACAAAATCAAATTAACTTTGCCAAAATGCCTTTTGGATGGGGTAAGTACCAGCCTCTTCGCCCCTTTATTTCACAAATCCTGGAGCTCCTCAGCCCTTCAGCTTCGGCTTCTCCGGATTACGTCCATACCAGCATCAGCTGACAGCTATGAACAGAGGACAGCGAGCGTTCCTACCAACAAGTTCAAGAGGGTCAGCACCATGAATCTTCCTTCGGACATGAGGCTCTTGCTGGAGCTGCCTCTTTCGGCGCCTTCAAGATCTTCGAGGATCATCAACGCAAGGAGGGTGCGTTACCTTACCCCACTATACCCAACCTCGCCCCTTTTCCACTCTCTTCTCCTCCCCATAGCCTTCTCTACATACTGGCACACCAGTTAATGGTACTTTGTAACTGTAGGCAAGACAGTCTCCCACCAATTCGCCAAAGAACTCCTCGTTGGCATTGCTGGTGCCGAAGTCGACAAGCTCATCGAGACCAAGGGCCTGGATTACATTGATCGCGAGAAGGCGAAGCGCCATGCGAAGGAGAATGCCGAGCATATGTATGATGAGCATTATGTTCGAGGACAGGGTGCCGATCAATATGATCCGTAAGCTCCACATTTTTGCTCTCTGGTTTGGAGAGCAGGATTTGAAGGCAGGGTTTGGAAGGGTATGAGCTAATGGGCAACAGAAACCAATACGAACCTCCTCGTCACATGCAGAGATGGTAGATGGCACTAGGTTTAACCTAGGTATCGTCGTGAAGTCGTTGGTTGGTTGGACTGCGGATCTCGAGGGAATACTCTGCATAGTTTTTCAACGCACAAAATGGTGGTTAGTCCTAGGCGGTCGGGTTCTCCATTCACAAAAATAGTCACCAACTCTGGGTCAGAGTGTCGCTCCTTACAAAAGTTGAGCTGCTCAAGAATGAAAACACTGATTTTCAAAATGAGGATCTTTTGACATGATCAGATTCGTTGTGCCCTCACCACATGCCAAGTGCCGTGTGCCAAGCGTTTAACTGGCAGGTCAGCGGCCTGCTCCTCATAGCCCACGTGTATATTATTATTGTCGCTTCATGATCGGGGATGAAAGTGACCACTTCTTTCCCAACTCTCGGCACTCGGAGCTTCATCGCCTAAGTCTGCCCACGTTGTCTCGGTGCTCCAGAATATCCAACGGTGCTTCCTGGAAGAGAATGCCAAGTGGGCAGCATTTGAAACACCCCATCTGCCAGTCTTGTCGCCAAAACCTGCCCCGTGCTTGGGGTTGAAACAAATCTGAAGATGTTTACACCTTGGTGGAAAATTCAGCTTCGGTCCCTCCAGGGTTATGGAATTCCACCAGGTCTACGCTTTGTAAGCTGGCTATCGACGTCAATCAATGTTGCCGACTTACTTCGTATCCAATCCAACCGGACTGAGCAACCCTTGGAGAGTAATTTCGAGCATTGAGAGAGCGGCTCATATCCCATATTCAAGCCAAAGCTTCTGGTTCCTTTAATAAAATAGTTTAGCGCAATCAAGCTCAAGGAAACAGCTGTGCTCACAGCAGAAACATCAACGCTCCATCGAAACGGAATCCCCTCAGCATCCGCCCTCAAGTTCTCATCACCCGTAAGGATTGTTGAAATCCTCTTTGATCTCCTTTCCACAGACACAATCGACATCGGGTATAGTGAAGCAGGTCGAGTTTCGCCGTAGGTCGAGAATTGTAGTACATCGTTCTTGTTGCTGCTACCGCCCATATCGAATATATTCGGCAGATAATTTGAGAGCAGTTTTCGAATTGCTGACATGCAGGCGCATATTATTGCTACGGATTCTTCGGCAAAGGGCCACAGGGAGCCGAATTGGTCGTCCCCTTTTTAACATTATTTCCTTCGCTCCTTCGAACTCAAGGCTGGAGATACTTACACTGCCTCAAATCAGCACTCATCCCCTCACTTTCAATCCCTCCTCAAGCCCAAGAAAGAAAATTGGAAAAGAAGTAACGTACTGTCTCATCCGTACTCGTCGCAAAAGCTCTCAGATACCTGAGTCTTATAATACTAGTCAAACAAGCAGAACTCCCCAACAAAAACATTAAAATGAGGATTATTTTCTTGCGGGTCATCATGGTGAGATAGATCACTTCTGGGAAGGGAAGGAAGAGGATTATTAGGTCTTGGGTGATGCCGATTCCTGCGTTGGAGAAGGCGACGGCGTTCAGGGAGAGGCAGGTGGAGGGGATGCTGCGGTCGAAGACACCGCCTGGAGGTGGTTAGTTATCGTAGGTGGGGGAAAGAAGGAGATGAGGGAGTGGCCAGACTGATTGGTACGCATTGCAGGAGTGCAGCGATGAGGAACGCGAGACCACTTGCTCCGACGAAAATGATGGTTATCCAAACCGTGACTCGGAATCGGCGTTTCATGAATATCCGTAGCTATGAACAGGTATCAGAGCTTTACACGTGAGGAAAACGGAAAAGGGCTCACGTAGAAGAAGAGGATGGAGAGGCGAATTAGCGTCAGACAGGTAAGGTAGGACAATTCTCCGATGTAAAATATCTGTGCCCCTGCATTAGCAGAATTAGGCAGTCGAAATCATAGACATACCAGTAAGAGAATCCTGATATCCAGAGGGTCGATATTCCAGGTATGCTTTCCGAATCCAAGCGTTGTATTTGCCCCTTATCAGCAAGTACCCCTGTCTACCCCACACTCTAAAAAGAAACGCACTAAAAATGTAAAGCACAATCGTGCCGGTATAAATGCAAGATGCCTCAAAAATTAGATAATCATCCGTGCCAAACGTCTTCGAAACCGTATATCTAGAATACAGCCGCGCCCCAACAGCAAGCAGCGTTACTGGACCGAGAACAGCGGGTTCGATCAGGGCTGGCAGGCCGCGAGAGGGGACTGGCTGTCTGGAACAGATGGGCTGAGTGGCGGTGTAGTATTGCGATTGTTCTTGGAAACTGCAGGAGCGTTGGAGGCAGGCCCATAGGGGTGTTAAGAGGGTGGTGTTCTGGCATGAGGTGATGGGGTTGGAGAGGAGGTCTGGGCTGGATTGTAAGGCTGTTGAGATGCATGACAGCTGGGGAATTCAGCACGGCAAAAAGAGTATGGGATTCAGAGACTTACTGAACAGGGAGGGAAGGATGCTTCTATTCGAGTGAGGTTTGCCATTCCTGGTGATGTACCGTGTGTGCAAAAATCTCGAGCAGATTTGGACACCGCGCCGGCATCCCCGTCTCTGGGCCTCCAGAAAGAGAAGGATAAGAAAGAAATAGAGCCAAGATCGAGATCAACCTTGTGATCTTTACAGGGGAGACTCCACTGCGCGAACTCACGCACAGGGTGGCTGGGGACCAAGCAAACGGGAACAAAATGACGCCGAGCTCTGCAATTTGTTCATCGCGTCCACCATACCCGAATGGGATCATGCAACTCCGATCTCCCCTTCCCACGGAGGCGGGAAATTCCATAGAGCCATCATGGGATGCGCACAGATTCTTGCTGCTTTCTCCTACACTGGGTTAATCCCGGGCCCACTGTTTTGATACAAATTTTGTACTCGCACGGATTCCCGCTTGTAGGGGAACCAACCAATAACCTGGCCTCAACTGAGACCTGGAGCAACCCAGTGTAGGAGCTAAGGAGGACGGAAACGTGACATTAAAGTTTACTTCCAGTCTTCCAGCAGTCGGAATTTGTGAATGTGACGCGTTTGTAACGGGCTTGGCTCGTTGGTCACTTGTGGCTTGGGTCTGCGAGTCAGGATGAGAGACAGCCGCAACGGCACTCACCGGCAGTGCGAAGATGTTCATCCGAGTTGTCTAAATGATTAAGATGGTCGATGAAGCTGTGAAATAACAGCGCGTTCCTCCTTTATGTTGAGATTGCGACTTCAGCGAGGATCTGCCCGGATTAGGTGATGCTGCCTTCCAACGAAGAGAGAAAACTGTTGACACGAGAAATATTAAGGCGAAAACTATGTGGAAGTTATGCTGACATACTGACAGAGTTTTCTGATTGGGGAAGCTTTGCATGTGAGAATTGCCTTATGTAAACAACCCCCTTTTCCCGCAGGTCGCGTGCAAGGGGCGCTTCAAATTGGACGGTTTTATTCTCTAATCGTCTACATAGTATCACCACTAAGTACGTAAGGAAAACTGCGATACTGAATATGGATTCTCGTACGAAACGAACTTGATTCACCGCGTGCTTGCCGAAGTGAGAACCAGCATCTTAATCACGTGATATGCTCCCAGAGGGTGTCAACTACACTGTATTTGTCCTCGTCCTTGCATCAGAACTCTGGGATTTGCTTGAGATTTCGGACTCGAGGAAATAGAACTTGTGGCTTCAAGAAAAAGTTGAATCTTTTGGGGGGGGGGGGGGGGGGCCTTTGTGAATCTGTCAGGATGACCTATCCCTTCTGACAATTTTGGAAAGGAAATATCTTCTGGTGCGGCGTCAAAATTTATCATTATCATTAATTATCGCTGAAGTGGATTCCCCGTTTGCTCTGGCCACACCTGTCCTATCGGCTCCCACTTCCTGACAAACCAAGCCGCGCATTCGCCATTATATCCCCAGGTTTGACCTTGGCATAGCCTAACCTGTAAGTCAATTGCTTCAACTCTCGTGCCGACAAAACTTGGGCGAGGTATGCAAACTATGTGCTTAGAACTTTTTTTTAATAGAGAGTTTTCCATTACATATCTTGTAGAAGTCTGAAGCCTTGAACAAGATTCAAGTTCAATGTAGTTGCTCTAGAAAGGGGGTTATGCGGATGCACCAGCTCGCTAAATGAACTATTAATCTAAGCACAAATATCTCGAGGTAGCGATTAATCCTCGTCCACTCCTATTGTTCACCGACCACAGCAGCTTCGAATCCCCTGCTCTCCATAGCGTGGAAGAGATACATATCGACAGCGACTGCCCGTCAACTGCGCCCCTGCGACAACAGCGTACACTCTTCGTCACGCTCCCAGCGGCGATTACAGCTGCTCCAGTACCGCCAAGAAGCCCCACACTGGGCTTTACTGGAATGCGAAGCTCGGCATCGGAGTAGCAAAGCTAGCTACTTTGTAAGCGCTTGGTTTTTGGTTCATCCATAGAAAATCAAAGAAGCTCCCCAAGAATCTCATTGAGGGGAGCGATGGCGTAGAGCTTGGTGGTGGGAATGGGGGCCATCTTCCGCCGGAGTATAGCTCCGTTGTGGCGACTGAAGTGGGGAGTTTGTGCAGTGAGAGGACGGCTGTTAACAGGCTTAGGGGCCAAGAAGGTGCTCACAATCATTTGGAGCGTGTGCGCCGGGAGAACCAAGCTGCTAATGTTGGTGATTTGTCACCTGTGAGTCCCGTCGAGCGGGGTTCTTCCCGAGTTTGGTCATTACGAAGTGATTACTAGTATTCTTAATCGATAATAGTAGTTTTTATCTTGTTCTCCTGTTCCGTGATTGGATGAAGAGTGGAAGAGATAGACACCAGCAAGCAATTAAAGGCCATAAGCGGGGGAGCCAAATGGTTAGGAAAGCCATACATTGAAGTGTCTGAGTCGTGTACACCTTGAATGTATCGACTCATAGTCGGTAAATAATGGCGGCGATTGCCAAATTTTGAAGGTGCTCGGGTTACCCGGAAGCGTCCCTTGAACCAAGCGATTTCGCTTAGATGAAAGCTTCTTCCAACACTTCATAAATATATTATCTTCCGTTCATCGGCCCAGAATTTATTGCCCTAAATTTTAAAGCGAGAACAAATAGCACCTGGATGCATTTACTTGGCTTTCTCTCGATTGCAGGTAGCGTGGTTCCTCGGGAAATTTTGAAGTCATCCAGTCTTGCGAAGCGGGGTACGGAGAACGCGGCATAAAGTGACGGGATTACAGGTGCATGCATAATTATAGGGCCACTAATAGGGCCTGCAGTGTCTCAGCGAGCCCTGTAAGCCCCGTAATTACCTTCCAATAGAGGCGTAAGGCCCCTGAAAGCTCCCTGAAACATAATGTAGCCCGATTGGGAGGTTACATTAAGCCACAGGCTTTGATAGGGCCCTTAGCCCCTGTATTTTAGGCGTGCGTCCGCAATCGGTAGCGGGGTAAAGTGAGCTTTACCCCCCTTCTCACCCCTCCCCAAGCTCTTTACTCACTCTCTTCTTTACTCTCACTTTCCCTTAGCAATTATGGCTACCTTTGGTGGTTTGTTTGACTTCCCTGATTTATCAGATGACCAATCAGAGCTCTCCTCTCCTCCTGATTCCTCCGATTCAGACGAATCAGCCTGTAGCGTAGCTACTGAAGATGAAGAGGATGCCTGGTATAATTTACTATCTGATTCAGAAGATGAAGACGATGATTCAATTATACCAAGCCTTACCCTCCCTCTTCGTCCTTCCACAGCCACCTCCACAGCTTTTACTATGCCCGATATCGTATGCAAAGAGCATTCTACTGGTGCCAGAATCAAAGCTATTTATATACTTGAGCAAAGACGATCTGCAGGTGATATCAAGAAAGCTACAGGAGTATCCAGAACTCGTATTTATGAGCTTGCAAGCCTTGCTAGGCAGTATAGATAGAGAGAGTATGAGAATATGCCCCTGGAAACCTCTTATATACTCAATCAACCTCGATCTGGTAGGCCAGTAATCTCGCCTGCTATAATCAAGTATATCTTGCAAGTGGTACTTCAAAATTCGACTACTCGTGGTTTCTCCTGTACTGTCATTACAAAGGAAGTAAGGAAAAGAGGTTACGAGATTGCCCCCCGGACAGTTTGGAAGGTTCTTACGGCAGCTGGCTATTCTCAGTACAAACTGATAGTAAAGCCTGGTTTGAACAAGTTCAGTAAAAAGGAGAGGCTAGACTGGTATTTGGAGTACGAGTATTAGAGTCTTGAAAATTGGAAAAATGTGATTTTTACAGACGAAATAGCAGTGCAATTGGGCAATATACGAAGGAAAAGAAGGGTCTGGAGGCTTCCAGGGGAAGCTTATAACAAGTATTATATAAGGAGATACTGGAAAGGCTTTTCTGAGTTCATGTTTTGGGGATCATTCTCATATAACAAAAAAGGGCCATGCCACGTATAGGAAAAGGAGACAGCTCAGTAAAAGCGAGAGAGAAAAGCTGATTTGGATATAAGGAATTCCTTAATTGAGAAGGCCAATAAACAGAAGTGGGAGAAAGAGTAAAGGAAGTGGCTAAGGGACTGGATCAAAGTCTATGGCAGGAAACCTGGTGGAACGAGAAAAACATGGAAGTATAATAAGAAAACCGGAGCTTTTGTAGTAAAGAATAGACGTAGAGGAATTAATTGGTACCGATACCAAAGGGAAATCCTTACTACAAAGCTCTTGCCCTTTGCAAAGGAATGCCTAAAGGATTATCCAAATACTATTATTCAGGAGGACAATACACTAGCCTACAAATCTCATTACTAATAAGGGATTTATAACCTTTGGAGGATCATGAAAATGCTCTGGCCAAGCAACTTACCTAATCTTAATGCTATTGAGCCTATGTGGTTTTATATAAAGAAAGAAACTATAAAGCGGGGACCTACGAGTAATAGAAAGAAGCTAAGGGTAAGGTGGGAGAAATGCTGGGAGGATCTTCCTCAAAGAAAAATTCAAGAGTGGATTGAGGCAATTCCTCATTACGTAAAAGAGGTAATTAGATTGGAGGGAGGGAAGGAGTATAAGGAAGGGCGAAAGAAGGGCCAAGAGAAAGAAGCAGTATATAGCTAAAGTATATCTTCAAATATGATCAATTTTATCAGGTGATTTACCCCACCTGCAAGCCCCTTTTTTTAAGCGAAATAGCCTTCAGGGGGCAAGTAAGACCTTACAGGGCACTTTAGTGGACTGCATATAATTATGCCCTGTAATCCCGTCACTTTATGCCGTGATCTGCGTACCGAGGCAAGTCTCCCTTCAGCGCCTCGCAAAGTGACTGTGGTCCGGGCATTATTCACTCCACACCCAACTAGCCCAAGACAGTCACTAGACATCTCCGAAATGGAATCATACTCTAATGCAGATGGAAGAAAAGTGCGAGATAGAGCTTCATAACATCTGAAGTGGCAGCACATCGCAACTGAACCTCGTTGAGACGATTTCGTCCATGAAAATTAGCATTACTCGTTACTCTCTCTATCTTAGTCCTGCGTGCAGACAAGATTTACATCAATACAGCAACGTGATCATTCATAAACTTATTAATATCGCTCAAGAAGAAGGATGAAATAATAGCAGCCCCACCAAAGGCAATCGAGATCAAATACAAGATCGGGAAGCAACGCTTGAACAGTTCATGTCCAGCCACAACAATTGTATGAATCTTCTCTGGAGAGTCCAGCTCCGGGAAATAATGAGCATAACTCGTCAACGGACCAGCCGTCAAAGTCGTCGCAAGCTGGGTGATCCCCTCGACTGAGGTAAATCCCACCTGGATGGCCGGGATAGCGAAGTATTTGACGGCGTTCTCGTGCACGTGGTGCAGGAAGATGTTGTAGAACATGGAGACGCCGACGACTTGCCCGATCATTCGGATTACGATCGAGAGCGCGACGCCGGTGCCGAGAAGCTCGTCGGGAGTGATGATGGAGTAGATTACTTGGCAGGGGAGGAGGACTCCACCGACGCCGATCAGGCCGAGCACCATTGGCGCCCATGCAGTTTTGATGTTCTCTGGGTCAATCGCTGCCATTGAGCCGAGGCCTAATGAGTTCATGTGAGATACTAGTGCAAAAAGTAACAAAGTAGGTTCGTTTGACTTACCGGCAGTTTGAATGATGCAGAAGACCATGAGAATCAGGGGAATTCTTTTGCTGAAGATGCTCATAAGTACGGCGCTGATCACAGCTCCACCCGCAATGCAGAAGCCGATTGGCAACAAGTACACTCCTGCTTGATAGAAGGACGCATAATAGACAGTGTACAACTGTATGACCCAAAAGACGACGAGGGGAATATAGCTGCTAAGAGTCAGAAACTGGACGATTGGAGAACTAGTCCAGAGCGACTTACTTGATTCCAGATGTCAAAGCAAGGATGCTCACAGCAATAAACGGCCGGGGGCTTCGTGCTAGTGCCATGGGAAACATGGGGTACTTGGTACCAAACTTTTCCCAGAGGAAGAATATAATTATCGTAACGCCGCCAGCAATCATTGTGCCAATGACATGCCCAGATTTCCAAGGATAACTCTGGCCACCCCAGTTGAGACCTGTCAGGAAGAGAATAATTCCTGCGAGGGACAAGAAGCTGCCAACGAAATCGATGCGTTTGACGATTTCCCGTTTCGAGAGACCCTCAGAATTGACGCGCGGTGGAGGATGATAGAAGATCGCCAGGACGATGAAAGCGAGTACGGCCCAGATGCCAACAAGTACAGAGACCCATCTCCAGCTGTGTGACGCGAGATATTGCCCATAGAGAGACGCAGCAGCGAAAGGGGTGAACCCGCACACAATGTAGCCTATCGTTGAGCCGCGCTTGTTGGTGGGGACGAGTTCCGTAGCGGCGGCGACCGTGGTCAGGAGTTGAATACCAATTCCTACTCCAGCCATCACTTGCCCAGCGATCATTCCTGATATATTATGGACGGTCCCGATGATGATCATAGCAACAACAGTGCAGGAGAGACCAACAAGAACAACCGATCTTCGTCCGATGAGATCGGCGATAGTGCCAACGAAAGGCGCGACTGCAGCAATGGCGATGAATTGCGAAACGATGATCCAGATAACATAAGAGCCGGCATTGAGGTCGTATGCAATGACCGTGAAGAGAGTGATGAGGAAGAGTGGCACGACCTCTGCCGCAACAAATGCCATACTGAGTCCCACCATTGCCATGAAGAAAGTAAAGGTAATCTGGACGTGTTTTTCCGTCAGCTAAGACATCATACTTGGTCTCTGTTGTAGCTTGTTTTAAACTCACCTTGTTTTGGGCATTGGGGGTCTGGGCTTCAAGAGCCCCCAATTCTCTCTTCTCGGAGGGCGAGCGCGACTGGACGCGTGTAGCATCTTCAACGTGGGCAGCACCAACTTGGCTCTCGGGGGAGTGTTGCTTCTCAAGGGACGCCATGGTGTGACTGAAGGTCGGTTTCGAGGCAAACAATTCAGCACAAAAGGTACGAAAAACAGACGCTTGCGGTAAGAGCAAAGCTGAAATTTTTCGAAACTCTTAAGAGTTGGTGGAGCAGGCCTGATATACACAAGTGAGTGCTACAAGTGCATGTGATGGATGGGCCTCGGTGCTCCCTTGCAATGGTATGCAACGTGATCAGTCCATCGCATCGTCTCTGGGCGGGTTTTGGACTCTCCAGATTGGCGCGGCAAGTGCCACACCAATCCGCGCGCAATTCCCACAAAGGGGTAAGGGGCGGAGAATGATCGACACAAACTATCGGCCTCTTATCCCGATTTGGACGGCCGCGCAGGGGGTCAGGGCTTGCTAACGAATGCGATTGGCGTTGTCCACCTTGAAAAGGCTTAGCGAAGTTGCCAACAAGCGAAACTCAAATTGAATACAAGCGCGGAGAACACCCTCCACAGAAATAGCTGCCGAGACTAGGGATGGTCAGATTTGTAATATATAATTTATATAATAATGCCAATTGGCGTAATTATATAATAACGGTCTCGCTGTTATTATGATTTATGAAATCAAGTATAATTTACGCATAAGTTAGGTATAAATTAAGCAAATTTGGGCGTCTCTATTCGTTAAGGGCAGGGTACACAAGTACCCCCTGCTCCCTTGCGCGCTAGCCTTTCCATAATAGGTTAGCGTGTAAAAATAATATAAAAACGTATTTTCCCCATTATATTACACTATTATATAACGACGGTCCAAATTATATGATTTTTACATCCCTAGCCGAGACCTACTAGTAAGTAGTGGATTTCGACTCAAGTCGCGAGCAGGGACGCCAGCACCGATTTTTGAACATCCCTCAATAAAACGGAGTGGGAGAAAGAGGATGTAGAATTGGTGATGTGTGCCTAGGAGAAGATAACTTGGTGCCTCAGGCAACCCTCCTTTTACGCCCTCCCCTCCATCTTTTGTTTCACGGAGGTACAGCCCATAATGATAGTAATAGCGCTAGCAGGGGTCAATAGAAAACTCGTGAATTCAATACTCGATAACTTTTGCTATACAAAACATAAAAAGTTCATTTAAACGCTGTAAATATCCATAACAGTGCCGTATAGTAGTACTACCTTTTTTCAAGTTTTTGCAATACGTTGTTGTTGCGACACCAGGTTGAAAAGTTCGGACCCCTGCTAGCGCTATTACTATCATTATGGGCTGTACCTCCGTAACCTGACCTCCTGCATCCTGCACGCCGTATTACTTGAGCCAATAAAACGGCATTACACACAAAATAATCGTGCGCCACGACTTGCACCAAAGCCCTTACGTCCCTGCGGGTTTGGTGCGTATCAGTAATACGGCCTTGAATCCGCGATACGGTCATTTTTGTAATAACTTCCATAATTTCACAAAATTGAAAAATAGAAAGAAGCCAAAAATTGCGCAATTATCGGGCGTACCTATATACTTTTTTAGGATCTTGTGTTCCGTTGTGAAGTTATTAAAAATTCTAGGCTTTTTTTATTAGGGGAAAAAAAAGTGACCGTATCGCTGACTTTTGACCGTATTGCTGATACGCACGATTAGCGAGCACAACGCTGGATTTCAAGGCTTCTTCCTTGTCCTAGATTTTTTTAAAGGTAATTATACGAGGGCTCACGCCTCCAGGCGCCCCCGGCGAACCCCAACTACAACCCCCGGCCAAGTAGGAGTTACGAAGGCGCACGGCATTAAAATCCGTCCATTTTTCGCTAAGGCAAGGAACACCAAAATCTCTAGGTTCTGAAAATTGCGCATTGGAGCACCACGAAGTCCGAATGCTTTGAATTAAGCTTTAAGTGATAGATAAGAAGTCAAAGTATCTTTTCCTACGGCTTTGTTATTCTAAAGTTCTAGGGAGTTTTGTTACGATTTTTTGAACGCGAGTGAGCGATTTTCAAAACTCTCGCCTAGCGAAATGGACGGTTTTTAAAGCCGCGCGCCTTCGTAGTAAGTGATTCCATCTACTCCGTACGGAGGGTATGATTTGCCATGTAGTGAGACACGCTTTAAATTAAGGTTTAGTGCGCGGTAGGCGGTGATACGTGCCCCGGGATGTACCGGTACCTATCCGTTCCGTTGCCCGTCGGAAATGACTCTCGTAAGCCGATCTTCTCTTTGATAATCTAATATATTTGCTACGAGAAATAATAGAATCTTTAGGATATCTAAATTACCTTTTTTAAAGCAGTTGTATTATATTTTTGATTCGTACAAATATTTAACTAGGTAAAATAAGTTCGCAGTATGAGACTTTTTAATATTCTTTAACTTTTAGCGAAAGACATTCCTGGCAGCAGCGGATGGATAAAGCCTTGGTAGTAGTAGTAGTAGTAGTATTAATTTACGTCCGAGAGACCTCCCGAAGGGTATGAGGACGTGCTAAGCTAAGGACGTTCCTCAGAACTCAAAGTCCTATTTAAAACAGAGCCAAAAACCACAAGGGGCAAAAAGACTCCCTCCTAGCCCCGGGTCCCTAATCCCGCGGTGTTATAGTGCCCTTGCCTTAGAAAGCATTTCTTGCTATTGCGGGGCCTATGGCTACTCTCTGTATATAACCAAACTGCCTTGTAACTGTGACCTCCCCGGACAGGTGGGGTGGCCACCAGACCATTTCTCCTCCTACCCAAGTCCTCCCACGATCCAAATATCCAAGCCCGACCCCTCCCCTTATCCTCTCAATACCCTATACCCCCCCTTATATCCGTAGAAATACCGAGTCCTCGGGCCTGCCTCTGCAGGAGGATTCCTCCACCGTATAGCTAGTCCGAGAGTGAGTTGAGAGAGTCGGAAAGGCCACGGTGTCCACCTCGATTTCCCTCGCCGTTCCCGTAGATATATCTCCCCCAAGTATATAGTAGATCGAGCGAGAGAGGAAGAGTCGGAGTCGATATCGTGATCGTGAGTCTCGTCGAGTAGAAGTTTGAGCTCCCGTAGAGGCGCTATACCGCTGGCTTGCGTGAAACCGGATCGGGCAGTAAAGGAAATTCTCCCTGCGTTTGCTCGTGACTCAGTCTTAGCCCTGAACTCCTAAGAGATTCAGGTTGACGGCCTGCACCACGAGGAGGTGCTGAGTCTTCGCAGGCGATAAAGCCTTGGTGAAATCGTGGTTGGCTAATTGGCCAGCTTACCCATCGTAATACGGCGGCGACAGGGGTAAATTACAGTAAAACCATGATACGGGAGGAGGCATGTTAAAAATCGGCCGACGCCACCTCCAGGAAACCCCACAAGATCAGATCGGCATTTATTTGTTTCCAGCTTTGTTGCCGCGCAGCGCGTAGAAACTTCGAAAGCCTCTGTCGGATGAAGACAGACGAGTACCAACTTGTTTAGTCTGGAGCCTCCGTTGGGTGGCGGCAGTACGCTCAATGAAGCTTCAATGTAATGTCGTCAGCTCCCTATAAATTCTCGTGTGGAACTGCTTGGAATCCACGTGACTAGCACTCTGAACGTCTCTGGACGATTGGAAGTGTTCCCTTCAAAGGAATACATATTGATAATAATAATTCTATGCTAAGAGGAGAATCGAAGACCGATAAAGAAGATGGTTGCGCCCGTAATGTCGAGACGAACGTTAAAGGATCACGTGACAATGATCATCCGCCCCCTCCTGGAGCACTTATCAGTTCGATAATTACCTTTTAGGGCAAGGCCCGCCTCTATCGCCCTTCGCTGTCTCTCCGAAGCTGCAATGAGTGAAAGGTTTATCTGTCATTCGCTTGAAACTTCCAGAGAAGCAGCATTTTGTCTCGATATGTCCTCCGAAGCCACTTGTCACTTGCCATCAGAGTCACAACTTACCATATTACTACACAAACATACGGCGGAAACATCTCCGCAGTAATTCAATAATTAGAAATAGCAAAGTAATCCGAAAAAGCTTCAAGGGTTCACCATAAGGGTCGAGTTGGTTCATTTGTAATCATACTAAAAGATAAATCTCTCCATGCTAGTTTGGCCCCGGAAGCACGGGATACGGAGTACATCATACACTCTAAGATGTGAAGATCAAAGTTGAAGGGACCGAACTGCCAACCAGTTTCACTCACAGATGCGTCAGTCTATCCACAATCTCAGTAACCGTTGCAGCCATTCGAGACGATCACTCAGATAGCTCCTGAGCAGTCTCCTCAGCCTATTGATTTTCCTCAATTTCTACGTCCGCCTTAGTCGATTTCAATTCTTCAGTCTCTCTAGCCTCCTCCACCTTATCAGTCTCCCCAAATTCCTCAACTCGTGCCTGGAGGTATTTCCCCTCTTCGGTCGTGGGATCCTTAACCTGACTCCTCAAGCTAAACGGCTTCATAACCGCCAGCAATGCAGTCTGGTATTTCGGGTCCAGTGGCTCATCCCAGTCGTCGACACTCGAGTCGTTTTCGTCATACAATCGCGACAACTCCAAGCCAAAGTAATGACTGACCCGCAATCTGGAAGTTGCTGCCAGATCATGCAAGCCATCCTCTTTTCCATGCACATATTCTTGCAGATCTCGCTCACTGAGTGCAATCTTGAACCAAGCCGATCTTAATTCGAGTTTCTCAGCGATGTAATCACACCATTCAAAGAACTTGTCGTATTTATTGAGGTTTTGAGGTCTCGATATGCTGAGCTCAATGGAGAATCCTTTGATACCCCTTAGAATTGCAGGCCTCTCGGTAAGAAACGTCTTGAAATCTCTGAGAATAGTATTTTCCTTTCCTTCACGGTAATTTCGGTAAATCTCGCAGTCATCCTCTGGTTCTTCATAACCTTCAGTATCAACTATGGTGTGGGCCCATAGAACTTTACACAGCTCGTGCCGGAAAGAGGCGCTTACGTGAGAGACTCGACGGAGCCATCCGAGAAACACCCAATCCTTTGAAGGTCCGGAGTGGTATTGGGTCCTGACAGGATTAAGAGTGAGCAGATACAGGTTCTCTCGACCTGGATAACACTCTGTTTTCCATAGGCGCTCTGCGGTCTCCTCACAGAGTACATAACTCCATTTGGTTGAACAGAACATGTAATGGTGATAGAAAGGGTCCGGTAGGAATTCTAGCTGGAATCGTGTGTACTCAATTCCTTTGTTCTGATCATTGTCACTGGAGATGACTGGTTGGAGAAGGATTCGAATGATCTTTTCGCGTATCTCGAAAGGTAGTTTATCGTACGGGAACGTTCCGAATCTATACAGGTTGTCAGTGTTGATGTTCTATTTTCATAATTTCAATCCTTTCTATAAAGTATTCCAGTAATTTGGAATGTCCAACAGCTGCTGGGACATTCTTTTCACTTCCTTTAAAGGTGAGTATTCTCCTGCATACCTCTGAAAGTTACCCAATTCAACTACTGGGATTCCATTACTACCTGTGATTCCCATGAGATCCAACTTCTGATCCTCTGACATATCCTTTGTGATCTTCGGCTTTTTCCACTTCGGGAGACATCCAAAGAAGAAATCGCCGTATCCGTTGTTGTAAGGTATTCGGACGGGGGTGGGCTCTATATTATTGGCGACATCGTTCTCTCCTCGCGTGGCAGCTCCTTGACCCATGGTGTTGTCTTGTGTCTCTGTAGCATCTTGCGCTCTAGATGCTACGTCTCCTCCGACACCCAACTTTCCCTTCTTACTGAGCTGCTGCGGAGCGGCATCATGTGTGGAAGTGTCTCCATCCATGGCTAAAGGTGTCTCGAACGCTGTATTGCCAAAGATCGACGGGGCTGAAAGTGAATCGGTGTCTACAAAGCGCGTCAGTATACACGCCCGCAAGTGGTCGTTTGAAGAGCTGTATTGTACCTGTACCCATATGAAGAGCCTCCGCGGTCTTCATCACCTGTTCCTTCATGTTGAGTGCGCCACCTGTTATCGGGTGGATCGAGTTGTCGGACGGAAGTCTTTAAGTGATCAAGTTGGATTGTGGGGAAAAGATGGACGTTCGGAAATATAAGAAATATCAAAAATCGGGCTTGTGTGTGCGAAGCGAGGCTGGACGAAGTAAACAATGGACAAGCTCAGCGAGAACGCAATGGTTTCGCCTTCCCGTCAACACACTATAACTGAGAACCCTTTCTGGTTTGGAAATAATTCTTACACGAGTATTAGCCTATTACAACTTCAATTCATGAAATCTAGCAACTTCTGGTCTCCTAGTGTTGTCTTTGGAGTTCTTGTTTTGAGTGGTCACTTCTGACTCTCACCCGTATTCACTTTCCCGCATAAATATAATGGCTCGATAAAGAGGATTAAATTTTAACCTATTCTTCAAGCCAATTTTTCATGAAGGAATTATTATTGCAGATACAGTGAATATGAGCTCCCTATATCTAAATTTTCGACATCTGGAGGAGTGCGGCACGGGATCTGCTGTGGCAAGCTTGGAACGCCTCAAAAGATTCAAACAAAACTTTGTTTTCAGCCTTCTTAATTGCATTCAATCAAAACAAAGATGCCTAGTATTTGCATTGAACAATCTCTTTCCAACCACAAAGCTAGTTGTTGTTTCGAACCTTTGAAGTTTTCTCCCTAAACCGTTAGCGTATTCCCACAATGGCCTTTAATTTCGAGCTTCCCCATCCCTGAAGTATTGAAGTATTGCAAGATTCAATGTATCAGAGACGTTTCCTCTACAGCTTGCCTAGAAGAATGACTTTGAGTTTTAGATCTGTGGGAAGAATTCGCTTTTCAAACAGAAAATGTGAGTCCCGAGGCCCCTTGGCAAGAAAATCGGCCTGCGTCGACTCAACACCTCCTCGTGGTACAGGCTGTCAACCTATGCTCTCGAGCATAGGGCCAAGATTGAGTAAATTATCGATACGCTATGAAAGCGATGCTTTATTCGAACGCTCGCACAGCATTGCACGAAGAGATTTTCCCTTATCGACGATCTTCTACGACTCCTTCTCTTCTTCCTCCGCCTCCTCCTTCTTCTCGACGCGCAATGGCACGACTCGTTCTATATATATTATGGAGGGAAATCGGGGTGGATACCATAGCCTACTCGACTTGCCTACTCTCTTGAGGGGGCTATACGGTGGAGGAATCCTCCTGCAGAGGCAGGCCTAATAATGCGACGTGGCGGATACGAGGGGGAGATCGTGGGAAGGGGGGAGGGGGGAGGGGAGGGGGAGAGGGGGAGAAGTAGAGGAGACTTGATATTGCGCCTTCGTACGGCGTCGATGCACTTGTCTAAGGGAGCTTTGGGCTACCTGGGGTGCTCTGAAGGAAACCTGGTTACCACCCCAACTGGCCGTGGGAGGTTTACAGTTATAAGCCTTTGGTACGTTCGCTTATACTAGAAATGCTTTCTATAAGGTTTACGGGGGTACTGAAACACCGCGGGATTAGGGATCCGGGGCTACTTGTAAAGGACGTCTTTTTACCCCTCGTGGTTTTTGGCTTCTTTTATAAGCAGGACTCTGTATATAAATATCCTATAAGCTTAGCACGTTCCTATGCCCCATGGGAGGTTTAGTAGAAAGCTAGTTTCTTCTAGTTTTTCCAGACGAAAATAATAATCATCATCATTACCATCATTGGCAAGAAAATCCACGAGCACCGCCCCCAGTAAATACGGGACATATGATGGCGCAATTTAGCCGTACCTATCTCGGCCAAATGCTTGCCGTATGGATCCGCTTTCAAGCTTCAAAACCGATACTCCAGGTTACCAAAACCTTCCAGACAAATAGCGTCACTCGTCCAAGCCAGAGCCCCAATCTGAACCAAGAACCGACAATACATTTTATCTACTGAACGTCAAAGGTTGATTTCACCTTAACCATTTACAGCAATACCACATCCATTGCATAATAGACCTTGCAGCTTTCCATAAGTACACAATGATCTCCACTTTGGCAGATTACGGAGCTTCCGTCCACATTTGCTTCCCGCCTATTTGAATTATGAATCGAAAGCCGCGCGAATCATTGAGATATGTATCTCTTCGATGGACATAACCGCATCCTTTATATTCCTTCGGCTATAAACCCGTGGGATTGTCTTGCGTTCTGTTAGTTGGGAAGATTGGTTCATCTTGTTTGCAGGGGTAGGTCCTCTTGAGTAGACTGATGTGGGATTCCCACTAACAATCCACATAGATAACTGCCCTGGGCCGTTCCATCATATCAGCTTTCAGTATATATCTCGAGACCCTTGGATACAATTCTTGATGAACTTGTTCTCAAGGGGTTAAATTTGGACTTGGTCGCCATGTTTGGACCGTTCCTGTGTCACATGTTGAGCCAGGTCTAAATGTGAACATTGCACACAAGCCTCAGTCTAGACCTAGCTAGCTAACCTGCACCGCTCTTATACACCGTGATTCTCTTGTACAATACCTCCGAAATTCTCGTCAAGATTTCACTTCTCCTCCAATATCTGCGAATCCCCGAGGCACCACGAAAGAACAGAAAGTGCTACATAGCACTTGCATTCATATCCGTCTACGAACTCTGGGATATTTCATCCGCAATCCTTACCTGTATTCTCATTCAAGCATACTGGGATACCAGCATACCATACACGGAAGGTGCTTCTCAATCTTAACATTCTAGTATACTACCTCGAGCTTGAAAAGCATGACCGAGATCGGAATTTTCATCCTTCCACTGCCGATCTTGCACAAGCTGCAATTGACTTTAAGGCAAGGGGTAATAATGATGTGCATTTCCACCATTGAATTCTTGTAAGCTCTTCTACAGGCTTTGTTCTGGATTGGTTTGCCAATTTTGAGTCTAATGTGTGCACCTTTCCATTTTTCGCCTGCACACTTTGAAGGCCGCTGTTGAGACGATATACCCGACATGGGATGACGAAGCAGCTGATGGTGCTGCAACATGGCAGATTCTTGAACTGATTATGAGGAATGTGTGCTCATGTTTGCCAACTCTCCGGCCGCTCGTACGAGGATTGTTCCAAAGTTCGGAACTGTTAATACGGCAACTCGCACTCAGCGACTTACGGTTCCTTCGAGAGTTGGAGTTGATGATAGCGGAGAGAACCCCATGTTTGAGGATTGCCGAAGAGCGAACACGTTCGCATAACATTCATAGTTTGGGCTTAATAGGCATCGGGGCCCATCATCTGGCTCTCGTATATACACGCTTGCACAATTAATAGCAGCTAATACTTTCCTAGTCACGGGCATTTCGAGAGTAGATTCAACCCCCACACTTGTGATTTGGAGTATAATTACAAACATTTAACGAGTAGGCCGCAACTTACAGGGAGTTGGGGGGTAATGTGGGGTCGAAGGACCCCACTGGTTCCGGGCGGTTAAGCGAGACCCCCCTTTCTTTTTTTACTCTCTCGCTGAAATGGCCGCTGCGTCAATCGAAAAGCCGGATCTCAATATGGTAAAATGTATGCCCAGGCTCAATTATATAGATTCATTATACAATAACGTAGTACTATCCCCCATTCAACCCAACGTCTGCTTCCACATATAATGTAGCCAGAGCCATCGAGTTTTGCAACGACTAACGCCTAAAAAACTCCTTAAACATTATGCCCATTACTCAAGGAAAACTCGTGATTGGATTTGGCAAAGTTTTCGTGCAATCAATGAGCTTGTTAATGTTATTTACTCCGAGAAGAGAAAGGCGAACATAAGCCGTGGAGTAAGCAGCATTCCATATTGCTTGCCCATTCGTTGGATCCTGCGGGAGGCTCTGTCAGCTCAGATTTCACAAGCAAACCCACAGTAATAGCGAAACACAAAGTTACGAAATGTCCGAGAATAACATACCGAGAAGACTCCAAAGCCTGGATTTGTCTCTGCATCATTGACGAAGGCCTGATCGCTAGGAAGGCGGAAAACCCCACTGATATGCCGTATTAGTTACATCCCGCGTAGCTAAATCCCGGGGTTAGGACTTACGGAGGAGGGCTTGTTGTCGTAACCTCACTATAAAACTTCACATCCCAAACTCCAGGAGTCGAATCCAGCGATTGTCCTGCTTTAGTCGTGTCAACAAAGCGCTGTTTTGCGGTTGTATGCGCTCCAATAAGTGCAATCAGATCTTTGGAATTAATGGTCTTCGCCGCAAATAGATCGATCAATTGACCTGCCGACGAATTCGTGTCTGGAAGCAGTCCTTCCGGGTTACTCAAGACATTGTTGCTACGTCCCACGAGCGTCAAGACTCGCGGGCCAAGAGGACACACGACGGTGGCGACGTTGTGCATGAATTGCACGAGATCTCCAGCTCCGACGCTCCAGGCTGCATATTTGGCGAGTAAAGCAATGGCTTTGAGACGAATATCTTGCATTCCGTTATTTTCGGGGCGATTGATTTCGTCGATGCTGAGGACGAGGGATCCGTCTGCACCACCGGATCCAGAGGTCTTGGACCATGCACCTGCATCGTGGAAGCCGAGACGGACGGCTGCCCGGGCGGCATCATTGCAAGTACCATTGGAATTGGTGAACATTTGTACAAGATCGTTTGAGATATAGTCCCAGACGCAGCAGGTATCTTGAAGGCATGAGAGACTGAGCAAGTCTGGAGCTTTGTATGTCTATTATTAAGCTATCAGCTGAATTGGATCAATGTATTTAGAGTGCAGATTGTACTTTGGTTGTCAGATCTTGACAAGCTCCGGTACCAAGCAAGCAGTTTTTGACTTGATTCCCTACTGGAGTTGTTGCTCCTTGAACCAAGTCTCCGATCATCTCTGGCGCTGGTGCTCCTGTTGCTTGTCGTTTGGCGAGCTCTCTCATTAAATTTTTCATGCCGGGGAAGGCAAGAACGGTGCCGGCGAGAACACTGGTCAGGTAGATTGTCAACTTCATGCTGTCAAGGAGTGCCTTGACCGAAGTTGGGAAGAGGTCGAGATTAAAATTAAAATTATATCAAACGAAACCTGTGTGAACGAAAGACCAGACTTGGTAAAGTAAAAGAAAGGATCTTTTGAGGATTATCAACTGAATGAGCCCGAGATGAGGTTTGGTATATGTACTTTGCATCGTGGCCCTCCAAACAAACCCGGTTGGCGTTCGTAGCCAATTGCGGTCCCAGGCCCTAGAGATTCTTGACGTGACTATCCAACATTTCCTATTGCGCCATTGGAGCACAATCTACAGCAAATAAGGCAGTGAGAATCAGTGGCGGAACCCATAGGTTGTAGGGATGAGCTGTGGCGAGCGTAACAGGAGCACAACGACCACCAATTACCACCCATCCCAAGATCCGGAAGGTTGAAAATGAACATGGTGCTATTGAAAATATGCATCGAACGGCATTTCCCACGTCACGCGGATGAGAGAAGAAAATTAAGGTTGACCTGCAATTCTGCAGGACCCACAAACGTCAGTGCATGGCAGCATAAGGTTACCAAAGACTCCATACCAGACACGAGAGCAATGCCTCAAGCGCCCCACTTGTACCGGAACCAGATGATCAGATTATGGAGCCTCGCTCCGTAAGCCTGTCGTGGGCTTTTGGAGGTCTCAACAGCTGCAAGGTGTCTGGTTTAGGGGGGGATCTACAGCCGACTCGCTTATTTTCAGGAGCTTGGCGAGGATCGACCTACTTGGCACAAGGCAAGCTCTAACTTAAGATACGAGGCTCGGGCAATAATGACTTCAATTACCTCCGTTCTCAGTGGTTGGTCAATCTTTTCGGTCTCCGGAGGCACACGGAAAAGGCGGTCTGTCAGGGCTGCACCGCTCAGAGGCCAAGACCGTGGTTGAAGATCCGAATGTTTTGGTGCTTAGAAGCAACTTTAGCTCCACTTATTATACGCTAAGACCGGGGCGGGGTGGATGTTCCCCTTGCGGAGTTCCGGTCGCTGATTTGAGCTCCGGCTTGGCACTGTCTGTAGAAACCATGAAGATGGGGAATTCTAATGACTCGACGAGGAAGTGAGGAGTTGAATCATTTCATCCAAGGAGGGTGTTGGGTAAATAGTATTGTTAATCGTTCGGCATTGTGTAAAGTTGTATTTCTTGTTTGGCCCTAACTTCTTGAGAGCCGTCCTGTCCTGTTGCTACCTTTAAGGTGCGCCACTGAAAGTTTTCATGCCTTGGAAGTTTCCTCCCTCAGGTTGACTTGAAAGCATTAAGTGCCCTCAGAACCAAATTCCTCCATCCATTCGATAATTTTCTCGAAATCACCTTTGCTGACCGATGGCTTGAATTTATCGGAAATGCAACACCTCTACCGCTAATAAAGATGGTTCAGCGAGCTTCGCTGCAGCAATTTGACGCCCAATCATTGCCATAGCCCTTTTATTAAAGAGTGAATAGCGGTTATACTTTTCTGTACCGTTATGAGTGACCTTATGAAATCATGAGTAAATGTTTAATCTTGAATAGTCGCGACAGATTCGTATAATAGGAGTAGGATTTCATTTCTGAAGGCATACTTTTCGAAAGTCATTTCGTAGTATTATTAACGCATCGTGAACCACATTCCCAATACCGCTTCCCGATAATCCCCCTGACCCCATTGTTAGCTTCTTATAGTCCGCATTACTCAAATTTACTTGCATAGTTCCTAGAGGAATCTGAAAGGCCTTTATACTAGAAATATAGTTTAGTTAGCGGATTTAAAGCGTTTTTGAAAACGTATTTATATAGCTATATTTAGTTACTATAAAAGATTTTAAACACTTAATATAATAATACTATTAGTATTATTTCTTTTATTGAGATTTATATTAAAATTTCCTTCTTTATATATTAAATAAGAAAAATAAAATATATTAAAATTACAAATTATATTAATAATAATATTTATATTTATACTTTATATAAAGATATTCTAAATATTAAGTTCTAAATTTGTTTATAAGTTGCTTTTACTATTTAGAGAGGTTTTTAATAAGATTTTTATAAGTAATAAAGTTTATTTTACTTTTATCTTTTTTTAGCCTTTATAAAAATAGAATAATAATAAAAAGAAGTAGTATATTGTAGTACTCGCTATAGCTCTAAGATTCTTTTTACTTAGACTACTAGATATAATTCTGAGTTTCGACTCTTAATAGATTTCTCGAGTTCTGCTTTTATCGCATTGAGCTCCCCCTGAAACAAAGGTCCGGTTTTCTTTAGGTAAGGATAGCACTTATAATTCCTAACTGTTGCACTTTGTAGGGTAACTCGCCAGCCCATAGTAATCAACTGTGTATTGATACATCGAGTTGGCACACGCATTCAATCCAAGAAGGAGCTTCACTATTCCGTTGCTACCTCTGAACGTGGCATAGGCACGGCAGCGTGATCTCAGATCGGAAAAGGGTGTGAAGTCTTGAGAGCTCAGAACGTTGCCAACTTCAGCTGTGTCTCCAAAGAATACTGCCGCTCTTAGATTCAAGTTGTCGGAGCCGCACACCTCAAAAAAGGAGTTTGTACGCCACTTCGAGATTTGTCGAAGACAGTTCGATCACCGAATTTTGAATCTTTGATCGTGGATGGAAGCTGCCTGGCGTTTGCCAATCTGGGAATCCCAGGATCAAGTCCGGTGCGTGGAACTCGACGTGAAACAAGGCATATCGAGAGAAAGGAACTTTCGCAAAGTGTGACTGTCGGCCATGCTCATTCATATTTCTCTCCTCTTCGAATTCAAAGTACCACCACCAATCTTCACCCAGCAACTGTTTCCATTCCATCCATGCTGCAAGTTGTCTGGACTCTTGTACTTGACGAAAGCAGCAGTAATTGATTTCTCTTGCGGCATTGGGGTAGAACGTATCGAAGCATCGTCGAAAATATTCTTCGACTGTATAGTGTACTAGCCGTATAACCTGACTTTCCTCATTGATGACGACAAGACCAGCGCAAACCGAGACGAGCAGATCCGAGTCAATTAAGCAATCATCGTTCTCTGGATCGTCCCCTCTAAACTTCGCCAAAGCCTGCTGAAGTGTTCGCGTGGACAGGAACGCATGCGAGAAGTGTATCCAGGCCAAAATCTGCTTAGCTAACAACGCATCATCGTCGTCCTGAGAGGTTATTCGTTGCAAGGTATCCTGGTATGTTTGGTCCAACTTCTCGGGCAACTTGTCCACCGCGTCACGAATAGCCATTTTGCTATATCTCGCCTTTTTCATCAGAGTATCCATGTGGAGTTTGGTCAAGAGGAACCTGATTGGATTAATAGATATAATTTTTTGAGGATACAGGCGGAGACTTACATTCCTTGACTTTTCTGCAGTAGCGTTTGTTCGATATATGTTTCCAGTCCCCTATCAGCGCTCGTATGCTTTTTAAAGACACGCTGTTCCAAACCCGCATGGACGTATGAAAGAATATCGGCTTCGTGAGCCGAGATCTCCACCTTCAACGCTGCGGCAAACTCCCTCTCGATACTAGCAATTGGCCTTGAAGTGGCTATGATGTTGAGATGCCCAGTAAGTTTCCGGAGCGGATCGAAAACCTCCAACCATCCCATGTCGTCTTCGCTGTACTCGTCCATTGCATCCATGATCAAGTAGACCTTGGTGTACTTTGAAAGGAATTCGCGGAGAAGTTGAATGGTATCCGGATTCGTCTTCTCGTTTTTGGACATGGCTATTCTATAGGCAGCGACAACTTTATCCGTCAAATCTATTCTCTTGCGCGCGAACTGGGCGCAAATACTCCCTAGAACATTTTGTGGAGTTTGCGATGCTCGTGCTTTGAAGCTGAAATAAGTCCAAGAGAGAGCGATGCTGTCTGCATCTGGCGCAATATGCTTGTGCAGATAATGGACAACAGTTGCAGCGAGAACAGTCTTCCCTGCTCCTGGTATGCCGGGACAGAACAGAATTTTGCCGTCTCCCGATAACCAAGACTGGAACTCGGGTCTTTCAAAGAACCAAGCCAATGACCCGGCAAAGTGTTGCTTAAACGTATCATTTTGTGTTGATTCGTATTGAAGAGGAGAGAGCCAGTTGAAGGCCTTAGATACCGTATCCTCTGCAAAGTTTCTATCAGCTCTCTTTCCATACCACCGCTGTCGTGAAGGGGTTGAATAGGCTTTTATACCATGCAGGTTCCTGTTAAGGGACGAAATTGTGTCTGCGACGCCTTGGATATCCTTCTGTACATACCCAAGGTCTTGACGAATAGTTGTAGTGTCCTTCTTAATTTCGGCGGAAAGAAGTAAGTGGTCATTCTCCAGTGCTATCAGAAGTAAAGATTTCTGCTTCTCCACGGCTTGAAGGATTCCTTCCGTTTTCTCCTTTGTCAGCGGCCAGAGTAACGACTTCGCCAACCTTTTCAAGCCCTCTGCGGACGATTGATTCTCCAGCTCTTTTTCAAAAGGTCCCAGAATCCTTTCCAAAGAGTCGAGTGGGCTGCCGTTACCCGCAAGCACCTTCATCGTTGGTCCCCACTCCCCGCCATTTGTGACATCCTGAACGGTCTCCTGGAGGATATCCAACAACCCGCGAATGTAGTGGAGATCAAGAAGAAGCTTTTTGCATTCTTTGCGGACATCTTTAACCTCGCGAAGGTATGAAATCACAGCCTCGCTCATATGGGCCAGAGCAACGATGCTGGCCCTGACGCTTAGTAGATCGCCCATCTTGGGCCTAAGGGAGCAAAAAAATAGGAGTCTTCAAAAAGATTCGGGAGTATGTGCGTTTCAGTCCAAGGTGATGGAGATTTACCTTTCACATCGAGGCTGGAGCCTGACATCTCCGAGAGAAAAAGAGCATCACGTGGATTGTGTTACCGCAGCACTCGCTCTGGACAAGGCTTCACTAGATGCGACCCAATGACTTTACCAAGCATGTTTGGTTGGGGGATTTCTCCCCAAAGAGGAGGAAGATTGGCACTATACTTAGAAACAAACGCCGAAAAGGTTATGCTCGCTCCAAAAGCAAATGTTGGAACTAGCCATTATACTAATTTCTGGGAGTTCTAAAGCTTATCTCTACTAATACTGGGACCTTAATAGGTTAGGGGCACCCAGTCACGTGCAAAGCGCATTTATAATTGGAGTGCACTCACGTGCCCGAGCAGGCCAGGACGTGTGTGCTTTGAGGATATATTTCTTAAGCGATTACAAGAGCAAGGGAAGGGAGGGACCTGCTTCTTGCCCGCCTTATGTGCGCGTGCGTGGGGCTAAAGAATAGCCGAAAAACAAAACCTTACTTTACAATAACATTACAAAAATCAGCTTTCTAAGCGCGGGGGAAGTGGCTTAGAAGGGAATGAAAATCTCAATTGCATAAGCACCCTTCCAGGGCTGCCCTGGGGTGCTTACATGTATCCTAAAGAGGGTTGAGATCGAAAATTACTACTTTGGGCGGACACCCCTGTTTTGGGAATGCTACGCGAGCAGAACAAGGGGGTATACAGGGGTTAGCAGGGGCACACTGATTTTCTATTCAACCAAACTATAACATAGAACAGGCACGGGAGCACACGGGAGCCACAGAATGAGACCCATTAGAGTAACATACTAATACAACTCCATATAAAGCTCTTACGGGTCAAACAAACTACCGACAAGCCAATTTTGATCTAATGTTATGCCCGAAATCGAATTAGATATGTCTCCACCGAGTAGCTGCTCATAACGTCTTTTAAACAAACATCTTCTTACAGATTCAGAGCCCTTTAACCAACACCCTAACCCCCACACTCCCATCCCTAAGTCCCTCTGTCACCAAATCCCTCACCATCTCCACATCCCCTCTATCCGTCTCATACAACTCCAACCATTCCCCTCCCTCTCCCTTCTCCCCCGCACAATCAAACCTCCCAAACAGCCCCGCAAGAATGACATACATCTCCTGATACGCCAACTGCATCCCAAGACACATCCTGCTGCCCCTGCTAAACGTAAGCCCATACCCCCGCAACCTCTTATCCTCCAGAAACCTCTCTGGTCTGAACTCGCCTGGGTTCGGATAGAGAGCAGGGATGCGCGCGAGCAGAAGGGGGTTCATGGCCATCACCGTCCCTCTGGGCAGTCTGTAGTTTGTACCGGTACTAGGGTTGACATAGACCAAGTCCTCAGAGGGAGCAACGCGCTGCTGGCGGCTTATCACGGCTGGGTGCAAGCGCAGCCCTTCTTGAATCACGGCGGAGAGGTAAGGGAGTTGCTCGACCTGGTTGAAGCTCGGGAACTGGCGTTCATCTTTATCCGGAATTGCTTTCTCCAATTCCTCTCTCAGCTTTTTCAAGATTGGCGGGTTTGATAGGAGGTGGAAGGTGATTGCCGATAATGTGTTGGCGGAAGAATCTGTGCCTGCAGACAAAAGGACGTTCGCTTCTTCCGCTAGGCGCGTGGAGTCCTTTTCCGAGTCGGGAAGGGAGGAGGAAAGCAGTCCGTGGAAGATTGTTGGTCTCTCTGGCTCTTCGGTCGAAGCTGCTGCTTTGATTTTATCGATTTTCACCATAGCTGCCTGCATTAATTATCAACCCCGTCCTTCTTAAATTAAAACGAAAGGGCATAGGAGGAGGAGGCAGATGAGAGATACCTACTTGAATCATTGAGATAAATTGCTTCACGCTCGGCACCATCGTCGTAAGAATCGTCATCGGCAGCCTCCGCATGATATGCGTAAACCAGGGAAAATAACACCCAAAATGCCAAGTGAGCACCATCTCGTGATACGCTTGGAAATAAGGCTGATTCAGATCCTCTCTACTGAAGGAAATACTGCCTTGTCCAAAGGCATAATCCGCAATCAAGTCATGCGTCGCTGCTCTGTACAACAAACTCATATTCACCGACCTCTTCTCCTTCTTCGCCGTTTCTAAGCGCTGCAATATTTGCGAGAGCACTTCGTGGACCATGGGCTCTAGGCGTCGGATGTTCTTGGTTGAGAAGAAGGGGTTGAGTGCTGCGCGGCGAGACTTGTGCAGGTCGTGGGAGCGGGTTGCGATGGCGGTGGGCGAGGAACCGAGCCCATTTATGGTGAGTTGCGCTTTTTCGCGGCGGTGGCCGGGACCAGCGAAGATGGTGTCAATGAAGTTGGAGTCGTTGATGTGGACTTCGTCTGGGCCGATTCGAACTATAGGACCTAGCCATTGACGTTAGGGGAAACGGGGGAGGGAGGAAGGAGAGAAGGAAAATACCGTATTGGGCGTGCATTTTCTCGATTTCCCAGATGTATTGTCCACGGCAGACGACGTTGTGGTAGAAAGCGTAGACATGTGATGCAGCTGTGAGGAAGGAATCAGAGATTGTCCGGGGTCAGGGGGGGATGCAGACCGGGGAGGGTGGCAACTTTGATTGGGGGGAAGAATCAAAAGTATAAGACATACCGGCAAGTTTGCGGCCTGGAATATGAGACAGAGGACTCAGATACAGACGATAGATGATTTTACAGACGTAGTAGAGCCCGAGAAGAGCTGCGAGGTTCGTCCATCCGAGCAGCTGCTGATTTGAAATCTGAGTCGGCCAAAGGCCCATGGGCTCCGTCTCTGAAGACATTGCTCTCCAAGAAAAGGAGATTCGAGCAGATCACTTATTAAGATTCGACCTCGAAGCTTAAGACATTCAAATGACGGCGGCCACTTCTTGACAAGGAGTACTGGTAGTTACAACCGCTCGTGAACCCCTGAATCTTAAACGAGATGCTGGAGAGTTCGCTAACACGAAAGACGATCTTCTTGTTCACGATGCCTCACTTTTACAAAGTACGCAGCCAAAAAAAGAGCGAACGGAGTTAAACGCCAGGATTCAGTCTGTAAGGGATGTTTTGATCATTTTATAATTTGGGCTGTCAGCCTTCGTCACACAAGAGAGAGATGCATCACCGTTTATTGGTCGTCGTATATGCACGCTGACTGAAATCCTCCCACTTAAGTGGACATCGTAAGAAACCCACAGTTGAGCCCCTCTCCGGCAGCTATGAAGCCACTCGCGTGATTTAGGAAATTTGGGGAAATCTCCTGAAATTCAATACAAATAGATAATCACAATGACAATGAAAGATGAATCGGAAGGCGATGAATGAAAACAACAAGGTCGAAGATCTCCAGCACTAACCAGGCTCTATGACTCGGGCAACGAGTATGAAACAAAACAGTCGAAAGAACGAAAGCTTTCAAAACGGAGAGCATCCATTCTCACCTCTCTGATACTCTTATGCATGGCATCTTCACCAGATCAACCACCACAAGCTGCACAATTGGAGTAGAAACATGACGCCGATGAGCTTCAAGCTTCACTTGGGCTGAAGCAGTGAACGTCTGTCGTGACGAACCGGGAATTCAGTCGTCCGCAAGCACCCTCTCCGCGATCCAACCGTGGGGAGAGATGGAACATCTTGCAAAGATGCAAGGCCGACCTTTGGGAGACTGATACTTGTTTAGGGCATGGTGGTGGGACGGTTTGAAGTTGATGAAGGGTGAGGAAGGAGATCAGCCTCGCTGGCCTTGCTTTTCGGCTTTTCTTCCCGACAACTAGGTTCAACCCTCCAAAAACACCGCACATCTGCCTCAACAACAAAACGGTACGACAAACCCTCCCGATCCCTCGAAGCTGCAACGGCAGCCTCAATACAGGGCATTCAGACCATCTGCCTTCACAACACTCGTCCGCCACCCTCCCGCATGTGCGACTGCGGATGATGCTCTTACCCCTCGAAAACGACTCCTCCAGAAAACCCCAAGGACGGTGGAGCGAAACCACGGCACATACACAATATACAAATGGACGAGGCTTGACAAGGCCATGGAGTTTGGCAGACTCTGATATGTTGCTGTGGTAGCAACCCCAATGATGTTGCGATGCTGCTCTGGGAGAGGGAGGGTTGATTCTGGAAGCGTCGAAGGGCCGCGAACGGAACAGTTGTGGAGGTGGAACAAGGGTGGTACGATGTGGACTATGGGTATTGGGAAGTAGGGAAGCGGAAAAGGCGGTAAGCACTGAGGGCATGATCTTTAATGACGGCGCTGAGGGGAGAATTTCGGCTGGGAGGATTGGGTTTCGAGGCACGTCCACCAAGTCCCCTTGTATCCTCCATTGTAGCACACATGACGTCCATCTCCAAATATGAGAGCATCGTAACAGTAGCATCCTGAATATGATAACCCATGCCGCCGAATCGACTACACCCCAGGAACTCATAGGCCAACAAAGTCTCTTGAGACAGTGCTGAACTCCGGAAGAATTTTTACTTGGCAGGTCTAACAAGAAGCCCGCTAAAAATAATTACTTGGCGGCTCCTTATTCCTTTTGGAGAATGTCTAAGATCTGAGACTCTCCTTTCTCCAAACGTATGGCTCGCCTCGCCTCGCTGAGGCGTGTCAGTCGTCATTGGCAAGTCTCGTCGAACAAAAGCTTCGGGAAGAATCAGATAACGCCAATTGAATGTGACACAGTCTCTTGAATGCACCGTGAACGGCGAATGTCTCCAGAGTCCAGACAAATCAATATTTATACAGTATATTTATACAGTATATTTATACAGTACATGCAATGAATCACGTGAAGCCTCCATCGCAACAACTTCCCCTTCGGTCCCGGTTAAGCGTCCGTGTTGGCTGTGACGCGGCGTGCCGTGTCCCGAAGCCCACAGACCTGCCAAACTACGTGCAGAGTCCTTAGTATCTGGAAACACGGATTCCACGTCGAGTTGCTTAATTGAAACTCTCTCTCAACATCGCGAACAATCTCCGCGTGAATAGGAGCCCCTTAACGTCCCACGTAAGAAGTGCCTTTGGGTGGAGCGCAGAGCTGGGCGTGAGCTCGGCGTCCTCTTGGGCCCTTGGCGCCATTTCAGGATCGGAGTCAGCCAGCAGCGAAATCCCGCGGCACAGCACCACAGCACCGCAGCATAGCCACTGGCCACTCAGCTTCGTACCCAACGACCAACGACCAACAACATCTCGACCTCTGTGCCTGGTTTCTTCATCGACAATTTCCAGCATGCCAGTGCTCTAGCTTCGCTCTGCCTCTCTTCACCTTCACTTCATTCATTGTTGATTATTCCCTTCGCTCGTTCACTGCGCCGCTGTTTGTCCCCCGCTGCCTGCATCACGAGAGTTCACGCAAACTATTTGCCAACATCGTATTCCTGCCTCGACCTTTGCCCCGACCTCAGCCCCATCCGCGACTCAGGCACACTCGCTCCCTCCATCAGAGACTGCGAAAACCTACGCAATTGTATTGATCACGATCATCCACGATGACCGAACTCGAGGAGGAGCCGCAGTTCACGTCGCTGTCGGCGAGAATAGCTGCGTTGAATCAGCAGGGTGTTGGAAAGAGCTTGAACGCACAACAACAACAACCGGCCACGGGTAAAAGACCTCCTCCACCTCTTCCCGCGCCCAAGAATCGACCTCCGCTTCCATCTCGCGGCCAGACGACGAACAATCCCCCGATATCTACATATGGCTCTTCAGCATTGCCACAGACGGACAATCTCCCCCTTGGTGTCAATGACCTGCCGCTTCTTCCTCCTCCTCCCATCGACAGAGACCAACCTCAATCGAATAGCCCGGGCTTTTCTCTGACACCTCCTCTCCCGCAACGCAACAATGTGCCTCCTCCACTGCCAGGGCGGAAAGGCTCCCTGTCATCACAACTCACACTCACCCCTTCCCTTCCTCCCCGAAACACAAGCCATCAATTGGTACGACGGGGATCGGACGAGTCGATGATATCGCTCAACTCTACATTCTCGGGGCAGTCGGGAGAGTCCTCCGCCACAAGTTGGGGTTCCGTGGACACCGGGGTGCAGAGGAAACTCCCTCCTGCTCTGGGAGAGGCGATACTTCCACCTCTACCACCGACGCGGCGAGAACGGGAGGCAGCACAGGCTGCGAAGGCGCCTCTTCTTACAACCAAGTCAGCGCCAACGGTGCCTCTTCGAGCTCCGCCTGTGATAGACCGCAATTTAGTTCCCAAGATGCCTCCTAGACCCACTGGCCCACCGAAAATGCCGTCGAGACCTGTGAAAACTGCTGCGAACACTATAACCGAAGACGAAGTCCACCACCCACAGCCGCAGAGGAGAATACCACCACCAGCTGCCCAGAGGTCAATACTGTCAATGGGCTTCGGAAACAAAACGAGCAATGAACCAGTAATCTCTTCATCGAGACCGGCACTCCCTGCCTCTAGACCAGCACCAACACATGCTCGCCCTGTAGGATCAGCTGTCCAGGAACTGACGGCAAGGAATTTCGATAGTGTGACGGCTGGGAAATTTGCACTCGTTGACTTCTACGCTCCATATTGCAAGTATTGCGTTGAGCTGGAACCAATATGGAAACAGCTTGGCGAGTCGTTTGCATTTGCTTCTGATAGACTGGTCATTGCCAAGGTAGATGTTGACGCCCACAAGACATTTTTGAGCAGATACGATATCCAAGGTTACCCGACCATTATGTTCTTCGATGGGACAGACCCCACACCACAGCAGTATCAGTACTCACGGGATCTGGAGCCATTGACGGATTTCTTGGAAGAACAAACCGGCATCAGGGTCGCCGATGGTGCTCACTTGCCAAAACCAAGTGCTGTTCCACCTCCTATCAATTTTGCTTCAAAGCCATCCATGTCACAAGTCAGGGCGACGATAAAAGCGAAAGCAGCTCCCGCAGCGCCACCGACTTCTGGATGTTTACTTTGCAGAGATTTCAAAGGACCCGACGGAGTAGCGGCTCAATATCCCAGACAATCACTTCCCAGAAGTCATGACCAGACGGACTACCTCGCAGATGTACTCTGTGGCCCTTTCTCATCCGCCACCGACAAAGCCCGAGCAATCTTCACCTGGCTCCACCACAACATCGCCTACGACACCGTCGCCTTCTTCGGCAAGAAAGTCAAAAGCGCCGAGCCTCAAGACACCATCAACTCCGGCCTGGCTGTATGTGCTGGTTACGCTGGCCTTTACTCCGCCATCGCTCTAAAAGCCGGCCTCGAATGCCGCGTTGTAGGCGGGCACGGCAAAGGCTACGGCCACACCGCCCTGAAACCCGGCGAGAGCCCTCCACCACGGGATCCCACCGGTCACGCTTGGAATGCAGTACGCATAGACGGCGGAGAATGGAAGCTCGTCGACCCTTGTTGGGGTGCCGGCAATGTCGGCGACGAGAAATACAACAAGCACTTCTCGCCCTGCGAGTTCACGATGTCAAATGAGGATTTCGGCCTCAAGCACTTCCCCCAAGACAGCGGCAACTTCTTCCGAGCCGATGGACGCATCCCTACTTGGGAAGAATACATACTCGGTCCATCACGGGAGGAGCCTTTACAACTCTTCAGCAACCTGGACGACCACGGCCTATCCGCACGATCATTCTCCCCACCCCAAAAGAGGATTCGGGTTCACAGCAAGGAAATTATTCGATTCCAGTTCTCCAAGATCTGCGAGCATTGGGACCACGAGAGGAACGGGCAGGGCAAACCGTACTGCTTCATCCTCAAGATCCACGGCGTGGACGGACGCAAGGAAGATTTTGTTGCGCTCGAGAAGAATGAATTTTGGTGGTGGGGCGATGTTAAGGCCAGAGATCTTGGGGCGCCAGGACAAGTTGTGTCATTGTACGCGGTTACGACGGTTAACGGACGGGATATGAGGGGCATGACCCGAAGGGAGTATCTGGGAATGAAGGGGAAGCCGGGAAGTATGGGGTTTGCTGGCGTGGCTTCTTGGGAGTTGGTTTAAGTCGAGGTGGGTTGGATGGATTGGATGCTGAGCGCTGAGGAGAGAAGGGGGTTGGCGGGGAAGGAAGGGGAGAGGAGAGTGGCGTTATTTGGTGGTCATGGCGTCTTGGCATAGGACTTGAAATGACATAGGATACAGTACGATACAGTAGCTCGCCCGAGGGTTGATATATAGTTGGCTAAGATCGGCCGGCGGAACCTTTGCTTGCTATAATGATCAAATTATACCTGTCTCTCTACTTTTACCCCTTTTTCTTATGTTTGGTTTGTACGATGTTCAATGTTTGAATTTGATGAGGTGTGGCGGGAAGTAGTGAAGGTGGTAGAAGAGGAGCCTACAACCCCCGAGCAATGAGTGCTGCTAGTGTAGGTCATTGAAGTTCTATTTGGTCTATTTAAAGTGTTGCCCCCCTTTTATACATTCTGTTCAGGTGCCGCATCCCTCTCTCCGCCAACATTGAAGCTCCACTTCGCATCTTCAAACCCCGCTCTCCGTCTTATCGACACCTTTAAGTCCCGCTCCGGCTTCCTGGCCCCAAACCCAATCTTGTGGGTCCTCGCTCCGATTATCTTTGCTCCCTGCATGTCGAAACCCAGCACAAACGCCGCCACGAACCCCAACGCTTCCGTAAACGCGAGGTGTCTGCCCGGACACAGGTTCCTGCCACCGCCAAACGGGATGTAGCCGCGCTGCCGCGTTTTCTTATCGTCCAAGTCGAGGAACCGTCGAGCATTGAAGGACCCAGCGTCCGGGCCCCATACCGACGAGGCGGTGTTCAGCACCGAAGAGGGGATCTGCATGACGGCGCCTTTCTTCAAGAGATACCCGTCGAGCCGCGTATCGGCGCTCACCCAGCGGACGGCGTTGCCGTGCTGCTTGAGCCGCTGGATCTCCTGGAACGTGGAGATCAGGAGCGGGCAGGAGCGCAGTTTGTCCGTATCAAGCGGGTTGCCGAGGAAGGCGAGCTCGTGGCGGAGGGCGCGGAGGAGGTCGGCGTCGGCGTAGATGTAGGTCAGCATCCAGAAGACGGTGGGCACGACGTTCGTGATGGGTGCGAAACAGATGGCCATCTCGAAGATGCCGAGGGCGGTGTTGTCGAGATTGTAGGCTCTTGCGATTCGTGCTCGGCCCTGGATGAGCTCGTTGGCGTTTTTGTCGAGGCCGGCGTCGTAGTATGCTTTGAAGGCTTTCGAGACACGTTTCTGGCCGCGGCAGGCTTTCCTTGCTACGATCCGTTGGAAGAAACCGATCATCATAAGACCGAGGTCATCTTCGAAGTCCCTAGAAAGTTAGAATGTGTGAGGATGGCGAAGGAGGAAAAGATTATTAAATACCAAATTTCATCAATGAGGCCAGGAACCGGATTGTCAGGGCCGTAAAAGGCTTCTCCCATAGCAATGGTGTATGCTTCGCGAAGGAGAGAATACAGGTTCGTCTCTTGAGGAACGAGATACCTCGCAAGGACGTTGAGGACCCGAACATTCGATTTGGCGAGATCAGGACCGATCGAAAGCGCGCCGTGCATTTTCGTGTGGATCTCGGTGAGGTACATCGTTTTTTCGAAAACTTCGACGACATCAGGGGGAGCACCGAGGGCGTTCTTGACAAATGCGGTAGTGAACGGATCAAACGTGAGGGTTTTCCATTCCCGCAAAGTAAGGGCAACGTACTCGGGAGATTTCACCACGTAAATCCGAGAGTCGAAGATTTTGAGGGTGAAGACAGGGTGGGTAGTACGACTGTCCAGGTCAGGTTGTACACAGATACATAGATTGCTGCTACTGACCTCAGGTTCTCAAAGTATCCAATTTGGTACCTCACAAGGCCTAAGATGTGCCCAATAAATGGAATTCTGGAGAGGACGATTGGAGGCTCGTCCGGATCGAGGGAAGCATCGGCCTTGCGCCAGAGAAAGAACAATACGCTGAGGATTCCTACGGCGATGGCGATGATGCCTGGGTTGAGAGCCATGATCCCCTGAGCACTCTCCTGAACCGAAGGAACCACTGACGCCACAGAGGTGTGATGAATGCCTCGAATATCCGCTGAGGCTGTGGATGAGCCCCCTGAAGCCTAAGCGAGGTGTTGCGTTCAAGTCGAGGATCAACACATTGTCCGCGACCCAAAACCTGCAGATTTCGCTTTGCACAACCGAGGCGAATTGCTGACTCGTGCTTCAAGATGCATTTTGAAGGGGAGTCTTGATTATCTTATATACCGTGCGGGTCGGCCTCCAAGTTACAGGGTAAGCACTTGGCCTACCACGCCTTGTCCTATTGGTCGTCGTACTGTATATGCAGCTGACTGAAAACCAGCACCCTCGCTTAGAAGTATCCACTAGCCAACCGCCCAAACCCCCATCCGCCCACGCCTAGAAAATCGATTTTTATTCACACCTTCATTATAATTACAAATCCTTTAATATATTAACATCCCATAGTATTTTCAACATCCTGACAACTATATATATAATTTAATCTTATGGTGCGGCTAGAATCGCCTGTTAATATTTTTTTTTTTTGTTTTTTGTTCGGGGCCGGGCTTACTAATTTTTATTAGGTGGGGGGGGTTCCCAAAATTCAAAAAAATTAATATTAACAGGCGATTCTAGCCGCACCATAAGATTAAATTATATATATAGTTGTCAGGATGTTGAAAATACTATGGGATGTTAATATATTAAAGGATTTGTAATTATAATGAAGGTGTGATTAAAAATCGATTTTCTAGGCGTGGGCGGATGGGGGTTTGGGCGGTTGGCTAGTGGATACTTCTAGTCGTACTTCGTAAACAAAGGGACACGCGCCTCCGGTTAGTGTGACACACCGAAATCCGGGCCGGAAATCAATGTTTTTTATATCAACTTCCATAGCAGTGACATTCAAAAATTTTACAATTTTATCGAGGGTAATCCTATGGACTGCGCATTAATTGATGTTATTTTCAAGGGAACCCAAGTGTGCTGGGTGTTAAAGAAAGTAATGAGGGGTTTGATTTTCGGCCCAGATTTCGGTGTACCACGACTAACCGGAGGTGCGTGAGGGACTAACATCCCCCTTCCAACAGCCTTATTATCTCAGGGGTGTGAACTAGAGTTCACGGAAACTGCCTTAGTTGTAAATATCCTTCCAGCAGAGAAACCGGCCGCCAATTCCCAGATTTGACTCCCACCACTTCATACACATTGAACAACGACCGGGTTTGGGTTGGTAGGGTCCAGTTGGTAACCTCAGCTACATTCCAGATTCAACAAATTAAGTCGATCGGTCCTACTGGGGTGAGTAATGTAGGAAGCTTGTATGAGAGGATCCAGCGTCTCTACATCGAGAAGTTGCCTACAAAGCCATGTCCTACTTGTGGGGTACTGAGCAACAACTCAGTTCGCCTACATCGGAACTAAGATATATGGAAACCTAACCTTCACCTGGCAGTCAACTCTCTCAAAACATCCTATTGGAACAAGTTCTTTAGATCGACGCTCTCTGCATATGTCTTGATCGATACCCAACGAAACACCGCAGAAACTTGAAGCATACACTTCCGTTTCTTGAGGAGCTTCATTTTGGGCTTTAGATGACAGTAAAAGCGACACATCGAGTCTTAAAGTAGATAAACTCAACCTTGAAGGTACGGTCTCACCTGGGTTCCTTTTATTTCGCCCGTCAATTTGTCCATGACTCATGCAGTACTGCAACATTGTCAACCAATTGTGCAGCTATGATGCGTTTTCGGGGATCAAGCATACGGCGAATCAGATATGGCCAATCCAGAAAAAAGTGTCAGAGCACGAAATATAGAGAAGCGTCTCATAATCTTCCCTAGTAGCTATTCATTTGGGGTAATCCAGGAAAGCCTCGTTTGATTCGCAAGTGTTGACTGGGATAAGAAGAGGGGATAAAGAAACAGCCCATAGAGGTTGAAGCTTACCTTCTTCTTGGAGCCCAAGATAGTATTGGACCTAAAGCAGCAAGAACAAACCATAAGCACACAGAACAGAAATTACCAAATTCACATCTATTACTTCACCTAGAGCGTTAGGAAAATCCCAACCAATTCCATATCGGAATAAGAAAACATAGATCTCGTATTCACAAGCAAGCAACCGATAGTCATATTCTGAGCTCCGTTTTCCTCGAGGTTTTCCTTAAAAAAGAGGCGGAAATATAGGCTTACATTGCTTTGGCTATTATACTATCTCAAATACTTGCCCGTAATAGCGCCGATCTAAAGCCTCACCGTCCATGATCCCATGCGCGTAGGCCTCTCCTAAGAGTACCCAAAAGCCGTCCTCATGTGGTTGAGGACTACAGGTACATCGCAACCAAATAAAATACACAAATGGTCTTCTTTGGTAGTTTTAGATGGAACCAAAGCCAAAGAGCCATCTCTCAAGATCGCCATCCGTCTATTCCATGTCACAGCTTGGACCCTTTTTATAAATTCGACAGTCTGAGTTGACTTAGCCCTTGTGGAATAGTCCGGGACACGAAGTTGAGCTTTTGTATCAAGTTCTCCATATTGACATTGATCATAAACTTCTTCGCAGGCTCTGTGGTACCATGAGGGAGGTACGTCGCTAGATATTAGCAGAAATCCTGAGCTGCTGGAGAGACATCGGTATCTCGCGGGAGATCCTGCGGATGGTTTCACGGTCAAGATCAAATAGTGACAGAAATAAAGACAATTACGCCGTGGATGACTGTTCCGAAGTGAAGATCCTCACCACTGACCCACCTACCCTAGGTATCAACCAAGAAGTCGCTGCCATTCACGCATAGCGATAGGCTTGATGGTAATTCATGGGAATAGTCAAACCCTTCAATTACTACCCTTTTTTCTTCTCCTTACATAAAAACTCATCTTCTCCCCAAGAAGCCTATTTCATCCATTCCCAATCCGAAGATTTTAAAGAGAACTTTATATTAAGCATACCATACTACTATTAATACAACTCGATACTGGTTCATTAAACGTAATATAAGTGTCGGTTCACCAGTAACAGTGTGTCAAATGAATAGAGTAGAATAGAATAACGGCCGTTACTCTTATTTTATTCATATATTATTCAAGTTATTCATGAATAATCATGAATAATTTAAATGACGCACGTGATCTCTGCACGTGATTGAGCTAGCCTAATCGGGTAGGGCTTCCGGGAGGGCCCGCACCTAGCGCCCCCTAGCGCCACCTCGCTACCCAATCAGGTGGTAGTGGCGCTTGGTAAGCGGATCGAACCTTAGCGATAATTAGTTTATATATTATAGAAAATCTGTATTTAAGTAGCCTTATATAAGTATTAGCTTAGCTTATATAAGGCTGCTTAATAAATACCTCAGTTTCTTTTTTTAAATTTAAATATATGTCAATTTACTATAATTAATTGACTTTCACGTGACTTTCACGTGGTTATTCATGGTTATTCATGTTATTCATGAATAATTATTCTATTTTACTCAAATTATTTAAGATATTCGTTACTCTTATTTTATTCAAGTTATTCATGAATTATTCATGAATAACTCGAATAACTTGAATAATCCTTTGACACACTGACCAGTAACGCGTAGCACCGTCACGTAATATGCGCGGAATGCTGATTGCGTAATTGGTGAAGTGGTTGATTATTTAGAAGTAGGGAGTGCAGTATCGTGGTGTTGATATGCTTCCCCTAAATCTGCTAAGCCTAATTAGGACTAATCTACCGGTTGAGTCACGCATGTGACGCGAGGTCACATGACCCCTAAATTCGCAATGCAACTGTTTCGACAATAAGGAATTTTTATTCGGGGACAAGATAGGCCACGGCAAATTCCGGGTCGGGGGCTGCGTGTGCTAATTCTAATAGGGCGGCCCGGTATCTTGTGCAACCTTTGTGCTTCGATCCTGCTTCGGCTTGCAGCAGGACAACACACATAAAGACCTTAAGCCTTCTTGATCCGCTGACCATTTCTCTCCTCCCAGCAATTTTTTGTGCCCGGTCTAGAAAGCTAAAATGACATCAATCGGAAAGTTAACAGCTTCGGTGTTGTCTGGATCGCAAGAGCTTGTGGCTACTCTCGGTTTACTTAATTTTGACTTCAGCCTCGTCAAGGTACTTATCCCCTTTTCTCTACAAAGGAAGGACACAACTGAGGATCTCTAGCTGGAAGCGCCCTCTCAATTCCGAGGACTCGGCGCAGCCTTGACCCCGACGCGCCGTGAAATTGCTGAGGCTGGCAGCACGCACGTGACAGCGCGGAAACTAGGAGCTCTGTTCGAAGATATCATTCCCCGCACGCCATATCTCATTGACGCATATGGAACCAGAGTCTCTGAGATTGCGAACTCTGCTACCGCCAATCCACGGGCTACTTTGAGCGATGGAATTTTTGCAGATTATACCGGAGCTGACGGAACGTCAATTTGGGCAGCCGCTACTTCGGGAAGTAGTGCTATATCTGTCCATCTGTTGGGATGTATGCTGTGAGTGCCTTCCGCTGTCGGAACGGAAATTAACCATGCTGATCGATTTGCAGAGCCCGTATGTTCAGTGTTGGGGAAGCAATATCAATCTGGGTTGAAATTGTCGAAGCGAGGAAGAAGGAGATGGCACTCTTATCAACAGATGAACCAATCAAATTAGCTCATATGTTGGCAGCCCAAGTAGTGATCGAGCGTAACCAGCTGGCTGAGTGGGACAACAGTGCTAGAGCTTGGCTCAGGCGAGCTGATGAAGCAAAGAATAAGGAGCAAACTCGGCTAATGCTTATCTTGAATAATCTGAGCATTGCTGTAAATGCGAAGATTAATACTTATGCAAGTGTTATCTCGGCTTGGACAACTGCTTTGAATATGATGGAAGAGTTGCTCAGTGGAAAGCCACAAGGTATTCAAGATGGAAGCTTATTGCTAGCTTTGTCCTGCTGGCACCTATACCCAGATCTGATTGTAAGTCAGACAATCAAGCCTACGCCTTGCACGATAAATATACTCACAGTTCTTCTCAGGTATTAGGTCATAAAACGGCCTTTCAAAATGATCGGCTAGTCCCTACAGAAGGCAAACTCACTTTAGGACTTGAAAGATCTGCAAACTCTGACAAGGACCAGAGTGGCGTTTACTGGGTCATGTCATTAGCCCATATGAGGTATATAGTATTATGAACTTGGACTCTTAAGAGTAAACTAACGATTTATACAGATATTATGGGCCTCCAGTACACCTGCAAAGAAGTATTGCAACTACTTCGTCAAGGCTATCCGCAGATCAATTAATGCAAGTAGCCCTAGGCTCCATTCTACGTGGCTGGGGATTCAAAGTCAACAACGCGGTAGATGCAATCGATGTGATTATTGCTCTGGAGAAGAATCTGTTGACGGCATCCAAAAGATCATCGATTTTCATGGCCCCGGGAGAAAAGTTAGCCAAGAAACGACTCCTTACTAATGCATGGGTTGAAAAACTTAAAACAGAGTCAAATTGGGTTCGATCACTTGGACAAGCGGCAAACTCCTTCACTTCTTCTATGGCTACCGGAACCGACATCTATCATGAACTTCACAGAAAACTCTTTGCGCTCGGACATGGACGAGGTTCAGCGTTCATCGAAGATCCTAAATCTTTCCCACCTCCGGTTTTTGGTATCCCTGATTTCCAGAATTTTATCCCCCTTCTGGAGAGGGATGAGGATAGGGTTTCACTACTCCGAAAGTATGCTGTGAGGTTTTTCCCAGACGCAAAACCCTGGGAAGTCATTATACGCTATCGACCAGACTTAGGCCGAGAGTCCAAGAAAGTACCTGCCGAGGAAACAACCACAGTTACGAATGACCGTACCTCTCAGAACCAGGAGGTTGAGCAGAATCAGGGAGATGGCGTTGAGGCTGGGACGTCTGCGCCTGCAAATCAAAATTTGCCTAAATTATCTCTCAATGATTCAGAAGAGCCTGTGGAAATTGCAAAAGATAAAAAGCATTATCTACAAACCTACGAGTATGCTACTGGTCTGCCTGATGCGGAGATCCCGGCCGCCACAAATCTTCCGCGGATGCTGAGGTATAAGAGGTGGATTGATTCAAGACTGGATCCTGGGCCTCTAGTCGAGACCACTACTTTCTCGGAGGTATTCGCTGTGGAAGAGATCTTCAATAAGACAAAGGCAATGATAAAACTCGAACCGCTGCCCTCGAATTTTGGATCCGAGGTTACTTCAGATTATATGATGACTTTTGAGGAGGGAAGCAACCCTTTCGAGGACTTTACCTCGACGACAGATTCTGGTGGAAACTCTTTGGTTTCGTCGGCTGCAGTAGTACCAACCTGCGAAACTCTGACACAGCTGGGAAATCTACCGAACCACATGGCAATAGTGCTCAAGTTTCTTAAAAGCCACGATACGGATATCGATACTCTACAGGGCATTCACTGGGAATCAAGTCATTCCTTGGAAAGAAGTGATTCCTGGGAAAGTTTTGAAGATCCCATTGTAGCTGAAGATCCTGGGTTGTTCATGGATTTAGGGACGTCCGAACAGAAAAGTCAGGAAGCTCGAGCGACCAAGGATGAGAATTCGAAGCCGAACGATGAGAAAACCGAACCAGCTATTCATTCCACATCTTTCGAGTACTTTTTGGGAGATCCTCAAGTGGCAGCCTTATACGTCACCTCAGAGGTCCTTGCCTCGTACCAAATGGAAGCCCGAGCACCCTACTGGGCATCCAAGAAGATCCAGCGAAAGAAGAAAATCGACCTTGACGATGTGAAGACCGCATTATATAAAGGTGGAATAAGTGCACAGAGCCTCGACAGCTTCCTCCGCGACCAATCACCACAACCCTTCTACCAATCTCTTCGTGCCTTGGCCCTGATCCAGGACGTCTATCAATCGCTCCCAAGCGCAACAATCAACACCGAAGTGGTACTACGACCGCTTCACAATGCAAAATGGCTGAAAGACCACTTCGGTGTAGACCGGACTCTGTTCTCAAAGTCCCTTTCTCGACAACAGACATTCGCCTGCATCACCATGCTCGAGACTGGCACCCTCGACCTCCCCATCTCAATCTTCCAAAATGTCTTCGCCATCTCCTCCGGAGACTCGCTCTACGTAGCCGCTTCTCTCCTCGGCGACCCGGGAGAAGCCATCCAACCCTCTGAAGTCCGGCACATAATCGGCAACATCGGGCGTCCGGGAATTAACCTGATCGTTCCGCCCACTGAGCCCCAAGTCCTGCAGCTGCCAGCCGACAGCTGGCGTGTGATTAACAGAGCACCTTATGATGGTACCACTAGTAATTGCTTCTCAGATACTAGTTTGCACTTGCGATTCTCGGATTGGAGCATTGCTATCGATGTTGGGACTTCCAGTCAGGGAAGGCGAGATGTGGAAGCTTCGCTGGTGGAAGGGTTTATCCAAGTTAACGACAACGGACGCTGGATCGCGGATCTAGACATCCTTTCGGCATTCAAGCGCGGATGCAGCCAATTCGATCATGATTATTACTACAAATCTCGATGCGAGCATGAGAAATCAAAGAATAGGGAGTATACGATGGGTGCGAAGGATCTGTGCGATATGCATCCGATGACGGCTATTGAGAGCTGGGAGGAGTTTTTGGAGCGGCCTGAGGGACCAGCCGTGGTGAGGGCGAGTAAAAATTGGTTGGCGAGAATCGCGACTGCGGCTTTGGGTGTGCAGAGGCATGATAGGGTGCTTGTTGGGGGGGAGGTTTGTTGGGAGTGTTTTCTTGATTTGGCGAATGTTGGAGGTGCGGATATTGTTGATAAGATTTTGTTTATTAATTAGTTAATAGGTACACATGAGGCTACGATAGTGCTACGTGTATCGTCAAGGATTTTTACGTATGTTTCTTGGCCCTATATCTCTGCAGGTGAAGATCGTCGCTGGCACGGATCAGGAGCCCGGTTTCGCCTGTTTGTCCCCAATCCAGCGCGAATAGCATGTCAAAATGTGAAGGGATTCAGGACAACCCGCGACCTGATAGAACTGGAATCTCAACCCCTGAGAAGACTGATTGAATATTGCCAGTACTTTGACTGCCAGGACCCAAGAGATAGAGTTTATTGAATCCTGGGTATGGTGCAGGATGACGAAGAATTTTCTTCGGATGTTTATTACAACATGAGTTCGAGGGCCGTTTACTTGGATGTAATGAATCACATCTTCAAACATCCTAGTAATCGATTGGCGTTCAAAGGAGTACGTATAAATGGGTAACTAAGCCCCTATAACACAAGGTAGTGCACCCTAAATCAACTTAATGAGACGCTATAAGATATTCGCTAAACGAGTAATAATTATAGGCCTCTTGAGCGAAGGCCGCCTTGTAAGTACAGGGGACAATCCCTGAAAGGGTGTGGTTGCCCTTATCGAAGGCGCATATGCTGCTTTTAGGGAAGGGCCTGGAAATATAGGGCCTTATCCGTTGCGCTGCCGCCAGCTTTACACTGGACCGTGCACTTTTAAGCGAGGAAATCTAGCAAATCAGAGAGCCAAAATTCGGGTTTGAGCCTTCTGATTTGCTGCAATTTTGCGCGTATAATTGAGCACGAAGTGTAAAGCTGGCGGCAGCGTAACGGATAGCGAGTTTGCTACCTTAATCTGTACGCTAGAGAGCCTATCAGTCTCCTAATGCCCTGTATTCCCGATACTATATGCCGTTGTCGTCGTAGCCGGCCGAGCCAGATTGGATTCGTTTCAGCCACAAACTACAAGGACTACTCGGGCAACTATTCTGGAAGAGAGCACCAAGCCATACTTTCGAGTTGTTTCTGGCATAAGTGCAGTCAAGCGGGCAACAGAAATGATTGTACACAATCGCATCTCATTTTTGAATCCTCCCATTCAGAGTCGACAGACCCCAAAATCTCCGTTTTTAGGCTGGCAACATTTTGAAGTCGATCTACTCAGTGCAGTTTCATGGCAAGCTCTATGCGGATTGCTGGAAAATGGAAGGAGCTGATTTCTAAGGAAAGAACTTGCAAGAGAGTTGTCGACCTTGGGGGTTTAATTGATCCCTACTATCGCTTAAGCTAATCACTATTATTAAACCCTGCATATGCTCGTTTATTTAGCTAATTACTACTATTATAATGGGGATTTGATTGTTATATGGATTTCGGACCATATATAGGTGTTTGAATGCGTGGAAGAGAGTAAAGAGGAAGTAATAAACTAAGTACTCAAAAGTAATACTTTTAATAATAGTAAGAAGTAAAGTAATATATATAAAGATTATAGAGTAGAGAGTTGTATTAAATAGTAAAAAGAGTTAAATAAACTAGCTAGAAAAGAGTTCAAGTAAAGTATAAAGCTCTAGAATATAAGTATATAAATCCTAATTAGATAAAGCAATTATATTAGTCCCAAATTAATAATTCTCATTATAATACATATTTTAAAAAGGCACAATTATTATATTCTACTTGTTTTATCTAATTAGAAAGCTTTTAAATAGCGAAAATCGTTTAATATATAAATTTTAAAGAGCTATATTAGTTTCTAATTCAAATAAACTTAGTATATATTATTTTCCCAAATTATTAATTTCTAGAAAATATTTATATAAAGCTTACTTCTTACTAATACTAGAGCCTCTAACTATATTACTTTTCTTTAATATCTTTTTAGAGCTCTTTTTCCAAGCTTTTAATTATTATAAATATAGCTTATATTAGTTTTATTTTTTCTTGTATTATTATTAAATTAATTCCGGCTCGTATATTTATAATATTTTTAATTCAAAATATATATTTGCTTTATTTTTTATTAACTTTAAATAAAATTAAATAGCTTGCAAGTTTGCTATAAATATAGCTCTTAATTATTAATATAAAGCTTATATTTAATAAAATACTAAGGTTTAAATTATTTCTAAATTATTTAATACTTCTTATTATAATTATTATATATAATATAAATAGAAATTAGACTAGAACTAGCTAGATATATAAAGTCGAAGTTACGTGTCACGATTTTATTTAGCTAATATGTAGGCCTATATATAGCTTATAATTATTTAAATTTGAGGCTTTTTTAAGATCTTTTTTTTTCTTTAGCTTTAAATTATTAAAATAAAAACAATCTAATTATATCTTTAAGGCCCTAGATTTTATATTTATAATATAATTTAAAGCTTATTTACTTCTTAATTTTATAAAGAATTTAAATAATATTTATTTAATTAACTTTTAATAAATATAAATATATTATATTATAACTATTTCTATACTAATTAATTAATATTAAAATAAAAGAAAGCCCTAGAATAATTAAATAAAAAAGCTCTAGATTAGCCAAATAAGCAAATAAATTAATAATTTTATTATTAAAAAAAGATTTATAAAAAGCAAGTTCTAAAATAATTAAATAAATTAAAAAAAGCTATAATACGGGATATTACTAGTATATTACCAGAAAGTAAACTAGAGCCTCTTATTAAGTTTTTTTTAAGAGATTCGAGTATTTTATTAATACTTATAATAAAAGAAATATTTTCTTTTAGAAGAAAAAAGAAGAGAAATTTGCTTTATTAAAAGCAAAGTTCTAAAAATTATTTTAGAACTTAAAAGCTTTATATAAAGAAATTATTGGGCTAATTCTAAAGACTTGTAATATTTTTATTTATAATAAGAACTATTATAATTAGCTAAAAGAAATCAAGTATGCTTTATAAAAAAAAATAAAGCTATTATTAAAAAGCTTATTCTTTAATTTATTAACTCGCTAATATTCGATTTCTTTATTTTAGAAAATAAATATTTAATTAAACTTCCTAATTCTTTTCTTTTTAAAGATATAACTTATTATAAGTATAAGATTTAAGGCTTAAAAGATATAATTAAACTATCTTTAATTCAATAATTCAAAGCTAAAAAAGAAGAAAAGAATCTTAAAAAAGCTTTAAATCTAAATAATTATAAGCTATATATAAGCCTATATATTAGCTTAAGCAAAGTTATAATATATAACCTTAATTTGTATTTCTCGATTTCGATTTTATATATTTAGCTAGTTCTAGTCTAATCTTTACTAGTATTATATATTATAATAATTATAATATTACTTCTTTTCTTAAAATGAGCTTATTTCCGAGCTTTATAAATTCTATTAAATTCTCAAGTTATAAGTTATATATTAAAAGCTAGAGTTTTTTTTATATATAACTTAAAGAATTTCTATTTATATTATATAATTCTTAATATAGTTTAATTAATAAGAAAGGTTTTAAAGCAGTTTTAAATATTTGAGGTTTTTATTATAAAAACTTTAAAAAGCTAAAGAACTATTATTTAATAAAAATACAAAATATTATTCTAAATCTAAATTTTATTCTTTTTATTAAACTCGGTATTTGAGCTTTTTATAAAATAGCTTTATTACTAGTATTTTTTAAACTTTATATTTTATTTATTTATTTTATAATTCTAATAATAAAAGCTTTAAATTTATTTATTTAAAAAAGAAGTTATTTAAATAATTTAATCTTTTTATTTTATAATAGTTTAGAAATATATATATAAAAAGAAACTTTATCTTTAAATTATTTAGTTATTTTTAAGAAAACTATTATAAGTATTTCCGGCTTTTCGAATAAGTTTATTATTAATAAAAAAAGCTAGTAATATTAATTATTATAATAAATTTATAATTTATAATTCTTTAAAGTATTTTCTTTTATAAAAGCATTAAATAAATATCCGGAATTATTATATTATTTAATTCTTATATATTAATTATAACTTAATTTATTAGTTATTTTTATCTAAATATATACTTATAAATAATAAATATTAGAAACGTTATAAGAACTTATTATTTTATTTAATATAGTTAGTTTTAAGCTTCTAGCTTTTTATATATTTTATTAATAATTTCTTAATTATAAATTCCGGCTTTATAAATTTTTATTTATTTAATTAAAATATAAATTAATCTTTATTTAATAATTCTTTAATAAGTTAATAAATCTAATATTATTAAAAAGATTTTTCGGAAACTAATTTAGAAAATCAGAAAACATTCCAGTAGTTTTTATATTATTATAATTATAATACTAGTATAATATTTTATTTTTATCTCGAAATCTTTATAATAGAATTCTTTCAAAAAACAGGCTATTAAATTCGTAATTTTTATATTTATAACCGGAAATTTATTATTATATTTAATATTTATAAGATTTTTCGAATAAAAGTTATAAAGTAAAAATAGAAGCTTTACTAAATTATTTCTAGCTAATATTATTTTTATATTACTATTTATTAATTAAATAAATAAAGTTACTAGTATTTTATTAAGTTTAAATAATAAATAGAAATAATTATTAATATAAAGGCAAGAATAATAAAGCCTATTATTATATAAACTAGAGATTTCAAAATATCTTTCTTTTAAGAAATCTTATCTAAAATATTAATATTATAGCTTTTAATATATTTAGATTTCTTAAAAATTATAATATTTATATTAATAAGAAGCTTTATTACTAGATTACTAATAAAATATATTTCTCTTATAATCTTAATTAAAACCTTATTAGTTTTAGTATTTATATTTGAATTTTTTTTTTTTTAATATTATATATTTCTATAACTAAATCTTGCTTTTAATTTCTCTAATTAATAAAGGCTTTAATATAATTTAAAGTAAGATATCGAGTTAATTAGTTAATAGCTATTTTTTAAATATTTTATATTTATATATATTTTATAAAAAGTATTATTAATAAAAAACTTAAATATTATAATTATAAAATACTAGTTTCTGAAATTAAATCTAGTTCTAATATTTGATTTTGAATTTATTATAAATTTAATAATAAGAATTATAT